CTTGCAGAAGCTAGGGGTATTCTTCCTTGCTGGGCTACAATTCCCAGCAATCTCAGCTCCAATGGTTAGGAAAGTGAGGGTTTCTGGGAGCAGGGCCCCCCAATCCCTGGGCTATGTAGCTGTGGCTTCCTAGGAACCAGGCTGCATAGCTGGAGGTATGTGATGGACAAGCAAAACTGCATATGCACAAGATCTAGACTGCATGGTTCCTCCTTTCTCTGGGTCTTCAGAAAAATTGTCTCCCATGAAACTCATCCCTAGTGCCAAAAGAGTTGGGAACTGCTATCTGGGGGCCATAAGTCAACATCTTTCCAAGTTTACAGGTGGCTCAGTGGCTAAGACACTGAGCTTGTCGATCAAAAGGTCGGCAGTTCAGCGGTTCGAATCCCTAGCGCCATGTAACGGAGTGAGCTCCTGTTACTTGTCCCAGCTTCTGCCAACCTAGCAGTTCGAAAGCACGTAAAAAATGCAAGTAAAAAAATAGGGACCACCTTTGGCGGGAAAGTAACAGCTGGTTATTAAGACCAGCTGCCTGCAATTACTGCAGGGTTCGAATCTCGCCAAGGCTCAAGGTTGACTCAGCCTTCCATCCTTTCTAAGGTAGGTAAATTGAGGACCCAGTTGTGGGGGCAATAAGCTGACTTTGTATAAATATACAAAAGGATGAAGGCTATTGCTGAGCACATTGTAAGCCGCCCTGAGTCTTCGGAGAAGGGCGGCATATAAATCAAATAAACAAAAAAACAAAACAAAAAAACAGCGTTCCGTGCATCTTTGGAGTTTAGTTATGCCAGCCACATGACCACGGAAACGTCTTCGGACAGTGCTGGCTCTTCGGCTTTGAAATGGAGATGAGCACCGCCCCCTAGAGTCGGGAACGACTGGCACATATGTGCGAGGGGAAACTTTACCTTATCAATGTTACCATCTTGATATGAAACAAAATTGGCTGGGTTGGATTCCCACAATACTTTATTTTAAACCCAGGTTAAAAAACACACTCATGTTCACATCCATTAAGCCCAAACAAGCCATTAATCATCTTCTTTTAATGACCCCATAATCCCTTGTGGAGCGGAGTGTGGGCAGCTAAATGGAGCTGAGTGTTTACTGGCCGGATGCTCTTCCTGTCGCCAATGCGGAGTTATATTCAGGAGATATATTCTCATTGTGCCCAGAGTGAGAAATATCTGGCTTCTATCTAGGATTGAACTCACAGCCTCCCGATTGTGAGGTGAGAGCTCCATTTCTAGGCCACTGCCCCACTCCAAGCCCAAACAGCAGTTTGATCCTGACGGGCTCGAGGTTGATTTAGCCTTCCATCCTTTCGAGATAGGTAAAATGAGGACCCAGATTGTTGGGGGCAAGATGCTGACTCTGTAAACCACTTAGAGAGGGCTGTAAAAGCACTATGAAATGCTATATAAGTCTAACTGCTATTGCTATTGGTATTAGCAAGGGAAATTCTGACCCCAATTGTGGTGCAAGGGAAGGGCTACCTGTATTTGACCCCAAGAAGATTTAATCGTCTTTTAAAAAAGCAGAAGAACCTGGATGATTGGCTCGAAGCCTGTTTCAGTGTTTCAAACCATGGATCGCTTTTCTAGCTTTTTCCTTGGAGTGTGCAAGCATGTTGCCCTCCATCTCTTAGCTAGAGATATAACTGTGCATGTCTCTTGGCTCCCCCAGCCCAAAATGTACGTACGTTCCCAAGTTTCAGGCAAGTTACCAAGCAGATGGTGAGATGCTTCCGTTGAAACTAGTATTGATCATCTTTGGGAAGGGGGAGGGGGCCGTGGATGTTACAATGGAATCCAGGCAATTTATTCTCGCCTTAAAGAGAAAATCCTGGTTACTAAAGCGATTTTTCTGCCTGCAAGAATCTTAACCATCCATGGAGGACGCAGAGGTCACAGAATCTGCTTATTGTGAATATAGCATCTGCTATCCGGAGCTGGCATATCTGTGCTGTAAAACTGCAACCAGCCACTACATGCCAGCAAAGAGAAGCCTGTGTGGCTCAAATCTGGCCGCTTTATGTGTGGACTATTACAACTCCCAGAATTCTCGAGTTAAGTGGCGTGGACGCATCTTAAAAATTGCCAGGGTTGCGAAACGATGCTGTATAAAATATGCCAATTGTATTGTTCAGACTGGGGAAAGGGAAAGGCTCCGAACAGTTGGATCGGGGGTGTGGCATGCATGCACGCACATGATCCACAATTTGCTCATCTTAACTGTGCCCCAAGGAACACCCTCCGAATTGCAAGTTGCGGTTGCTCTCAGATTTGCACACTCCAAAGAGAGAAGGCAGAAGATAATCCTTCCATGCGTATGGACCCCTGATCTCTAGATCTCTGTGGAGCCCTGATTTCTAGATCTGTGTGGACTCCTGATCTCTAGATTTCTGTGGAGCCCTGATCTCTAGAACTTTGTGGACTCCTGATTTCTAGATTTCCGTGGAGCCCTGATTTCTAGATCTTTGTGGACTCCTTATCCCTAGGTCTCTGTGGACTCCTTATCTCTAGATCTCTGTGGACTCCTGATCTCTAGATCTCTGTGGAGCCCTGATTTCTAGATCTTTGTGGACTCCTTATCTCTAGGTCTCTGTGGACTCCTTATCTCTAGATCTCTGTGGAGCCCTGATCTCTAGATCTTTGTGAACTCCTGATCTCTAGATCTCTGTGGAGCCCTGATTTCTAGATCTTTGTGGACTCCTGATCTCTAGATCTCTGTGGACCCCTGATCTCTAGATATCTGTGGACCTCTGATCTCTAGATTTCTGTGGACTCTGATCTCTACATCTAGAGATCTAGACTTCTGTGGAGCCCTGATCTCTAGATCTCTGTGGAGCCCTTATCTCTAGATCTCTGTGGACTCCTGATCTCTACATCTCCGTGGAACCCTGATCTCTAGATCTTTGTGGACTCCTGATCTCTAGATCGCTGTGGACTCTGGATCTCTAGATCTCTGTGGAACCCTGATCTCTAGATCTCTGCGGTCTTATTGTAAGCACTGAGCTGCCTAGAATGCTTAGTCCAGTCTTGAATTCAATGTAAATCAGATCCAGTGGCTGACCTCATTCTCCAGCGGCCTGCCAGTTTCTCCTGCAGCCCTGGTGATAGATTGATCTTTTTATCAATCCTCCTCATTGGTGATTCCTTATTGGCAATGACTTAATAGTGCATGACGTTGCCCCACTCAGTTGAATTAAGTCACCGTCTGCAGCTGTTGGGGAAGAACTCCTGCAGGGCTGGAATTATTCGATCCGCCATGCAGTATTTGTGGCCGCGTGGAGCAGGAAAACCTATTGTTTCCATCGAGCGGATTCGAGTCCAGGGAAGGGAGCAAAGGCACCCAGAGAGAGAAAGAATAAAAATGGGGATTGCGTTGAAGGAAGGGAATGTGGAGCTCTTCATGGATTTCTCCCGTGTGGAAATTAAGGAATCTCTCTCTCCCCCCACCCCCACTCCAGTTTGGAGGTATAAAAGTAAGAAAAGGCTAAAGGAAGCCCTCGACATAGGACCACAACGGAGCCCAGAATTTAAGTTGCCAAGTGAGAAATTTGTGAAGTGAGTTTTGTCCCATTTTATGACTTGGCTTGCCACATTTGTTAAGCGAATCATGCTCAAGGAAAACCTCCGGAGCCTGGGGAGGGCAAAAATGCCCCCCACCCCACTGTGGTGCAAGAGGCCGACTAGGCCACGCCCACCATGGCCACACCCACCCAGCAACCAGGCAGAGAACCACTTGCTAAAATTTTTGAAGCCCACCCCTGCATACAGGGGCCGTAGTTGCCCATCCCTGGTTTAAGATGATCACCGCGTCACTGAAATGATTAATGCAGAAGCTCTATTTAACATTATTGAACAGTTTTATACTAGTACATTGTGTTACTGGAAACTCCTTTGTCCTGTCCTGTCCTTTTAAAAACACATAGGAACATTTGTAAATTGCCACTTTCAGCCAATTAGATTTATTCATTCTGTGCATTTTGTTTTCCTAGGGTGCACAGATATATGCAAGAAAGATAATCTAGTTCTAACGTTCTGGGTTTATATAACCTGTTCGCTTTCAGTTGCATCTGGGATATTTCTCTTGGCAGTTTTACCTTCAACAGGGTTATTTTTTATTTTCACCAGGAGGCCAAATCCTACAGAAGTAATTTTTTTGAGACCCACACTTTATGATAATGGGTGGAATCTGAAGCAAAAGTGGGTGGAAACACCCATCTCTTTTCCTTCCTTCCTTCCTTCCTTCCTTCCTTCCTTCCTTCCTTCCTTCCTTCCTTCCTTCCTTCTTTCTTTTTCTTTCTTTCTTTCTCTTTCTCACTTTCCTTCCTTCTTTCCTTTCCTTCCCTTTCTCTTCCCTTCATTTTCCCTTCCCTTTCCCTTCCCTTCATTTTCTCTTCCCTTTCCCTTCCCTTCATTTTCTCTTCCCTTCCCTTCCCTCCCCCGCCTTCCCTTCCCTTCATTTTCTTTCCCTTCCCTTCCCTTCCCTCCTTTTCTCTTCTCTCCTTCCTCCCTTCTCCATTTGCTTCTCTTTCTTCTGCCCTTCAGCTCACATTCCAGGGGTAGCTTGCTTTCCGAGTTGAGGGTTTTGCAAAGAGATGATTTGAAATGAGGCTGAAAATCAACTGCCCCTTTGTGTGTGGCAACCCATTGTCATTTATATCTTTGTCCCCCACAAGGCATCATGGGAAGCATTCACAAGCTCCTGGTATGCAGCCGTGATGAAAAATAATATATTTGGCGAACGACAACAATAACAAGATCACAATGAGGCCATTTAGATCATTTCAGTGTGGCCGATTATGCTGGTGAGAAGCAGAGAGAGTCAGCAATACCTCATTCTCTCTTCCATTTTTTCCCCCCAGGCATTAAGATAGTGTGACATCAGCCCCATCTGCTATTAAAAGCAGTGGCACATTGGAATTGCTGTGAAAGATGCGCACATGTACGTATGTGCTGAGAGAAGAATGCAAGCCATGTAGCAATGTATATTGCTGAATGATATCATTTATTTTGATTTCCTGCTATATAATAGAAAAACCATTGTCTGCCTCATATATTAAGGGTGCTCTCCAGATGCATTAAGACTTCACTTCCCAGAATTCTCAGGCCATGTTGGCTTCCAATGTTGGGAACTGAAGTCCTAAAACATCTAAAAACATCACAAAGCTCTACCTTTCTCCAAAAAAGATGAAATTCAGGAATGACATAACTTTTAAATAAGATTAGATAACCCATGCCCTAATGGGACATTGTTTCAGAGGTACCGTATTTCCTTATTTAAACAGAGAATGACCAAGGACAGGCAAAGAAGCAGCTGGAGCAGAACTGACTTCCAACTTCCTGCCAGCTTCCCCCATTGAGCTTACTTGTAGGAAACTGGCAGGGAGCCTTGGAAACGTTCCTCGCTTCCTTCCTCCCTTCCCTCACCTTTCCAGCAGGCAGGTAAGCGGCTGCTGTTGGGTAGGGAGGCAGCAAGGGGATTGCTAGACTGGCTGGGAAACTGTCACAGAACGTTGAAAATGAAGATCATATGAATGCCGCAGCAGTCCAGCAGGCAAGTACTAGTACTGAAGCAATCACAACTTTCCCAAATGTCATTCCCTTGGGAATGTGTCCTTCCCGGATTTTGGACACATTCTTTACGTTAGCCCTTTAAAAGTACATCGCTACAAAAAGTTGTTGCCTATGAGAGAAACAGTTTTGACCAGTTAAAGGTTATGACAATGAGAATTTTAGTAGTACCTCGCTACTCGACTGCTTCAAAACTCGCCAAATTTAGTACTCGATGCATTTTGATGTGAAAACGTTGTTCCAGTACTCAGCATTTTGTTTAGTACTTGATGAGTACTAGGAAGGAGGAAGGAGATGGCTGCAGAAAACAGACAGGAAGTCAGCCCTATTGGGAGGGTAAACGTGTACTGAGGTGCCACTTGTGCATGCTTCCCACCTTTAGAAGCTATTTGGACGATGGGGGAAAAACACAGCTTTTGTTAAGTGGCAAGTACAGATGTGGTAGGAGTTTCTCTGAAATGGCAGACTTTCAGAATCAGGATCGGTTGGAAGATATTCTAAGCGAAGACCATGGATTCCTTTGGCACCTCCGTTGCCAGATATACTTCCTAACAAATCATGTACTCAACCTTTGCTTCGCTGAGCAAACCACAGTGCCCTGCAGCAGCTTCCCAACAAGGAGCCATAAATGTAATTGAGAAACTGCGGTGGTCGCGCATCACGCTGAGCAATATGCAAATGCACCGCATTGTGATTCATCAGGACTTGGGTCTATCGCAACCTGAGACTGAGGTTTTAAGGTGCAGATGTTATCTCTACTCTACGATTTTAAATGCACAGAGTTTGACGCTGAAACCTTAAGGAACGCAAAGCCCGTGTGACCCCCATGAGCTGCGATCTCTGGCCGAAGGAAATTCCTGCCGCTCAGCAAGAGAGCTCAGTTATGCCCAAAGGGAGGGAAGGTCAAACGTGTGATTATTTGTGTGTGTGATTAGGAAAGGAAAAATGTACATGTTAGAAGTCATGTTTTCGTTCTTAAGAATAATTCAAGCTGCATAAGACTGCCCTCTTGTGGAAGACCATGGATATAACATTAATACTTCAAGGTTGGGGTGGGATTTGAGAATGCAAAACAGGGCAATGTATACAGTGGTATCCAAAGCCTTTCATTTTTAAAAGTTGAAGATTCTAGTCCTCATGCATTGCAAAGATGATTCTGAAACGTACAGGTAGACCTTGACTTACAACCATTCGCTTCGAAGATACGATGGTCTCGGAAAAAGTGATTCATAACCCATGTTTGAAGTTATGACTGTTTGCATTTATGACGGTTGCATCTGTAACCTTCCCAGCTGGCTTCGGACAAGCAAAGTCCATTGGATTTGTTTAATGACCGCGTGATTCGCTTAACTAAGCCGTGATTCAGATAATGACCCTGATAAAAATGTTTGTAAAATTGGGTACGGTCACACACGATGACGACCCGTTTAAAACAACCACATCACCCAAATTCCGCTACCAATGGTGGTCGTAAGTCGAGGACTACCCATAATGGATAAGAGACCATCAGAAATACCAAAAGCCCAAGATGGGAGAGCAGAAGCTACCAGTAATTTCAAGTGCTTTGTCCTTTACAAGAGCCACAGCAGCACCGGTGGTTAGAATGCAGTACTGCAGGCTACTTCTGCTGACTGCCTGCAATTTGGCAGTTTGAATCTCACCAGCCTCACGATTGACTCAGCCTTCCATCCTTCTGAAGGAAGGTAAAATGAGGACCCAGATTGTTGGGGGCCAAGAGGCTGACTCTAATCGCTTAGAGAGGGCTGTAAAACAATGGTGAAATCTGAAACCTGAAATCTTTACTACCGGTTCGCTGGATGCGCATGCGTGCTGCGCGCCAAGCACATGCTATGCATGTGCACCACACAGCAAATGCAAGGTGCGCATGCGCGCACACCAAAAGGAGGTATGGGGTAAGCAGAACAGTGCGCGGCGGTGTGTGTAATCAGCTGTGGCGTGTGATCTTTGGAGCCTTTTTTTTAACTTTTAAAAGCATTTTTTTACAATCTATTCAGCCAAATAGGTTGTAAAAAAATGCTTTTAAAAGTAAAAAAAAAAAAAAAAGGATCCAAAGATCGCGCGCCACAGCTGTGATCGTCGGAGCCTTTTTTTTACTTTTTAAAAGCATTTTTACTACCGGTTCCAGAGAACTGGTAGTAAAAGAATGCTACAAAAGTAAAAAAAAAAGTTCCGAAAACATTTTTTACTACCGGTTCAGGCGAACCGGACCAAACCGGGAGCATTTCACCCCTGCTGTAAAAGCACTATGAAGCAGTCTCTAAGTCTAAATGCTATTGCTATTGCTACATCAGAAATGGCTGGGGGAAAAAAAAATGTAAAACGGTCTCCCATAATTCATATAATCTAAACCTATTTTAAGAATTCAGTTCTTGGCGAAGAATCCAAATGTGTTTTCTTTTTTTCTCTTTCTCTTCCAATGGCACAGGGTCCCTGTTAGCTTTTTATGGGCATCTAGGCTACAATGGGGGCACGTTGTATGATACCTATGTAAAACATCGCATGGGAGAAGTGGAGAACAAATCGGAACATCAGACCATCTATCATCGCGAAAGGCAGTTTCCAATTTTCTAAAATTATCCCTTTTTAAGTGTTTGCCGTTTCCTTTGCTGCCGCCGAAGGAACAAAGAGAAAAATAACCCAGCCTCGCTCTTTGTCTCATGTTTTTTAAAATTAAATATAAATATTTCAAGTGTCCGTACATTTCTCCCTCTTTGTCTCTGAAGCACCACGGGTTCAAGCAGGCACGGCTCCAAACGGCCTGTGAGAGATCTTGCTTGAAAAATGCGGAAGGAAAAAAGAAAAATAAAAAAGGAACAAAAAAAAAGGAAACCAAACTCCATTGGTTCTGAAGACACGAAAGCAACAATGTCCTTCCCTTGTAAAGTGCCCTACAGGAGCATACAAATACACTTAAGGCAAAAAGAATAAAAAGGAAAGGAAACAAGAAGGAATAACTGAGCTCTAAAGAAAACCGACAGCTTTATCCATCCCCCCCATAGATGCACAAACAAGATCAATAGATCTTGCCCGTTTTTGGCTTCTTGCTCTCTTCCATGCTCTGCTTTTCTTTTCTTCCCCCCCCCTTAAATTAGATTTTATTCTATCAGTCTCCTTCATTTCAACGTTAATGGTCAGTTCACGTTTTCTCTTGGCATTGTGGTTAAACACCACTGCCACCTGCTGGAGAGTCTCGGGTGATGCAAGTGCTTGGAAATAGCACACCTTTTTTCCCCTCATTAAAACATGGCACTGCCATTACCTAAGAAAGGGGAAGGAATTTACCGTAGTTGCCTTTATATCCATCCAGGGTGCCCACACTCCCTGCTTGCTAAAGAGAGGGAAGATGGGAGTTATTTAAACCAGTGTTTCTCAAACTCAGCCACTTTGAAGGTGATTGTGGACTTCAACTCCCAGAGTTCCTCTAGCCAGCATGCTGGTGGGAGAATTCTGGGAGCTGAAGTCCACACACACACACACCCCTCTTAAAGTTGCTGAGGTTTGAGAAACACGGATGTAAACCACAGCATCGAGCCAGGAAAATGAAAATACAAGCACTAGTGCCCATGCGTAAAGATTTCCCAGAATCATGCGACTGCAGGAAGGGGGAAGGGGGAGCCAAGTGGCGCATCAGTCAGTCCCACTGCTGAGGCAGCTCGATCACCAATGGATTTGTAAGCTACACTTATGGCTGATCTCCCATGAAAGCTTGGCCACCATGTGAAATCTGGATTCTTACAGACTGAGTCACCTCCCTCCACCATAAGGTCGGGTCCAGACCCAAAGTGGGGGGGGGGACACGTTGCATCCTGTGTCTGCTTTCATGTCCTGACCCAAAGAAAAGTCTGTCTATTGATTGCTTTACAGTTCTAGGTTCCGGTCGGAAGAAGGCAAGCAGGATGGCGGCCATCTTGGTTGCCGGAGTGGCCCCCTAGGCCAATCCTCCTGTTGAGGTTCCTCAGAGGGCGAGGCTAGTTTGGGGCCCTCAGGAAGAGATTTGAGGTCCTCAAGGCTGTCCCCATTGGAACCAGTTCTCCCCGAAGCCAGTGTCCACTTCCGTTTCTTTCTCACTGAAGATGGAAGGAGAGTCCGGAAGGGGTGGGGTGGGGGGGGGTTCCGTCATACGTGAGTCTGCATGCGCTGTTGAGCAGGGCGCCCATAGTCAGACTGCTGAGACAAGGAAGTGTAGGAGAAACGGGAGCAGCCCGAAGCTTTGCTGGCTTGGTCGGATTGCTCGTAACCGCTCTCGGCTTTCTCGTAGCTGCTCGGCTTGACGTAGCTGGTGAAAGCCCGGCTGTAGGGAGCGGTGAGGTAGGTCGCCCCACTGTATATGTTCTCTGGAGGGAAAAGCCGCTCGTGGGTGGTGTCGTACGCCGAGCGGGAACTGGGGGTACCCAAGGTGTAGCGGTGGGTGTAGTCAAAGAGTTTTGGTTGCACCGGCCCCGTGGAGGGGTACAAGGACGTCGGCCCGAACAGAGGTCGAGGGGCTGGCGTGTATTCTGAAAAGCTGCTCCCCAAGCAGGGCTCCTCGTGGGCACGCACCTTGTAGTAGCCGTTGGTGGGGTCCTGCAGAGAAAAGGAGGGTCATGAGGTTAGAGGTGGACTCACTGCTCGGTTCTAGGTTGCCGGCCAGGAGCTGGGTCATTTTGTAGGATACAGTACTGCAGAATAGTTTTCCATGTTTAAGAATTATCGGTCGCAGGTGAAACTAAATCTCATCTATCGTGGGAATCTTCTCCCCCACAACTTCCTTTCCCCTCGTTCGTTTATTCATTGGAGACGTCTCCATCCCCCCTCTAAGAACTCAACCCTACTGGTGAAGGTCTTCTCCCGTTCATCTCCACCAACACATCCTGGGAAGGAAGATGGCTTGAAAGAAAGCAAATGGTCCACAATTCCCCAGGTAGACCCAGAACCAAGGGGTGGGGGTGGGGTGGGGGGGTGAACCTGAATGCAAATTCCTCTGCAACCGCCCTGGCTCGGTCAGACATGCGGGAAATCCCACGCAGCCCCAGCCGAGCTCACCTTCAGTTCCTGACTCCCTTCGTCATCCTCCAGGATTTCACTGTGTTCAGTGTGCGACGTGGCTGGAGATTCGCTGCTTGTAGCCTGGAGGCAGAGGAAGGGGGAAAGGTGAGCATTGCTATCCAAGAGGGCTTTGCACAGCTTGGGGCCCAGAATTGAAACTGCCCACATGGCTTGAACCTTGAAATGGAATGGAGGAATAATGCCAGTGTATGGGAGGGGGAGAAGAAGGAGAAGGAGAAAGAGGAGGAGGAGGAGAAGGAGGAGGAGGAGGAGGAGAAAGAGAAGGAAGACGAGGACGAGGAGGAGAAGGAGGAGAAAGAGGAGGAGAAGGAGAAGGAGGAGGAGGAGGAGGAGGAGGAGAAAGAGGAGGAGGAGGAGGAGGAGGAGGAGAAAGAGGAGGAGGAGGAGGAGGAGAAAGAGAAGGAGGAGGAGGAGGAGGAGGAGAGAGAGAAGGAGAAGAAGAGGAGGAGAAGGAGAAAAAGGAGGAGGAAGAGAAGGAGAAAAAAGGAGGAGGAGAAGGGGAAAGAGAAGGAGGACGAGGACGAGGAGGAGGAGGAGAAGGAGGAGGAGGAGGAGGAGAAGGAGAGAGAGGGGGAGGAGGAGAGAGAGAAGGAGAAGACGACGACTTGGTCGTTGCTGGACTATTGGGAGCTGCCTCTCAAAATTGTGGGCTCAAATATGAGCCAATCACAGACAGGGAAATTCAAATGTCACAAAACAAGAACTTGGAGGCCCTGTGGATCTTCCTGGTGGCCCATTCTATGTTCTGGAGGTGTCAGGTTCCTCCAGGGTCCAAAAGCAATAGGGCAGCAGCTAAGAGCTGAACAGGGACAGCCAAAAGGCCGGATGTGGCCCCTGGGCCATAGAATGCCAGGTCTGACGTACATATAGTAGTCTAATAAGGAACCTTGTTAATTCTCTTCCTCCTGACCAAATTTTTCATGCGTTGCTGTCCCTTTGGCCTCTGGAATGCAGCCCCTCCCTCCTGGGAATCCAGACCACATTCCACCACACAGGCCAAATGAGATATGACAAATGAGATATGTGTTTATGCCATACCCTCAAATGGAATGGCTGCATTTCTATGGCATGCTAGGCTTGATTCGTCTTAATCTAAATTATTATTATTTTTGGGGGTGGGGGGAAAGATAGTGTGTTGTGTCAATGATGGCCATTTAATCAGGTAGAGTGCCAAGAATTGAAAAGAGATTTATTCACTAACCAGACTGAGTGGGCTGTGTGAACACAGCCAATAAAGATTGAGCATTAGACTGTTTGTGTTGAATGCAACTCACTCCTTTCATTTCAAGCATTCATGTGACGCAGTGATGAAATCAATTTTTTCTTTACTACTGGTTCTGTGGGCGTGTGGCTTGGTGGGTGTGGTGTGGCTTGGTGGGCATGGCTTGATAGGCGTGGCAGGGGAAGGATACTGCAAAATCTTCATTCCCACCCCACTCTGGGGCCAGCCAGAAGTGGTATTTGCCAGTTCTCCGAACTACTCAAAATTTCTGCTACCGGTTCTCCAGAACCTGTCAGAACCTGCTGGATTTCACCCCGATGTAACGGTATTGGGGCTAAAAGAATGGCGAAAAAGCATGCTAGGGTGCTAAAACAGTGCCCTCTATAGCAAAGGAAGCTATGGGATGAACACGCTTGGGGAAGCTGAAGATTTGCAGGGAAACTCCCAAACCTTATAATTTTTAATCAGTACAGGGGGATTTCCTCAAAGAGCATGGAAGGAGTCCATGAACAAAGGAGACAGCAGGGACTGGGGATTTGAAAAACAAGGGCACGGCATGATTTCCTGGCTGGCTGGATCCGTGTTTCTCAACCACGGCCACTTTAAGAAATATGGAGTTCCCATGCTGGCTGGGGAATTCTGGGAGTTGAAGTCCATATTTCTTAAAGCAACGCAGGTCGAGAAACACTAAGCCAGGTCCAGGGGGAATGAACTGGGAGTATCCTAGAAAAATGTAAACAGGCTGGCTGGAACTTTGCGGAGCGGATGGGAAAAGAGTATTATTGACTGGGAAAAACAAAACAACACCACCGGGATCGGTGAGTGGGAAGCGATGTCCTTGGAAAAGGATAGGACTCTGTGCCTCAAGCATTCGGACAGCTGCACGCTATTCTACAACGTTCAGCTGCAGCTCCTTCTCTGCCCCCTTTAAAATTACAGTGTGTAATTTTAAATTCTGCATATGCTTCTTTGCTTGTGGCTACAATGATAAAAGAAGAACACTCTCTGTCTCTGTCTCGCTCTGTCTCTCTCGCTCTGTCTCTCTTTTTCTTTCTCTCTTTCTCTTTCTCTCTGTCTCTCTGTCTCTTTCTCTCTCTCTTTGTCTCTCTTTCTGTGTCTCTGTCTCTGTCTGCTCTCTCTCTCTCTTTCTCTCTGTCTCTCTCTTTTTCTTTCTCTGTCTCTCTCTGTTTCTGTCTCTGTCTCTTTCTCTCTGTCTCTCTCTCTGTGTCTGTCTCTGTCTCTTTCTCTCTCTCTTTGTCTCTCTTTCTGTGTCTCTGTCTCTGTCTGCTCTCTCTCTCTCTTTCTCTCTGTCTCTCTCTTTTTCTTTCTCTGTCTCTCTCTGTTTCTGTCTCTGTCTCTTTCTCTCTCTGTCTCTCTCTGTGTCTGTCTCTGTCTCTTTCTCTCTCTCTTTGTCTCTCTTTCTGTGTCTCTGTCTGCTCTCTCTCTTTCTCTCTGTCTCTCTTTCTCTGTCTCTCTCTGTCTCTGTCTCTTTCTCTCTCTGTCTCTCTCTGTGTGTCTCTGTCTCTCTCTGCTCTCTCTCTTTCTTTCTCTCTTTCTCTGTCTCTGTCTCTCTGTCTCTCTGCTCTCTCTCTCTCTCTCTCTCTCTGTCTCTTACAAAACGAACAGGCCTGGCTAGCTGGGACTGGATGCTACAGAAACAGGGACTTGACAAAAACAGAGGACCCCTTGAGTGCCCATCTCTGCTTACCATGGGTTCCTTGGCGTCATCTTCCACCTCGCTGGGCCTGCTGGGGCTGCTCTCGCTTGTGGTGATCTGCACGAGGATATCGGCCTTAGACAGCTGCGTTCCCCGCTTGGCTGTGGAAGAGACAGATGGGGAGAGGCGGATGTCAGATCGTGCTCCCCATCACCTAGGACAATGATGGCTAACTTTTTCCGGACCGAGTGCCTAAAGTGCGTGCGCATAAATGCACGTGTGCCCCAAACTCCAAAATGCAATGGGTGCACGGCCCCCTACATGCGCCCCACCCCCCACACATGCACAGCAAAGACCCAAAGATCAGCTGGCTGGCGGGAGGCGTGCGCATATGCGCAGCAGAGTTGAACTGGGGCGACGGCTCACATGCCATCAGAGAGGACACTGTGTGCCACCTCTGGCACGTGTGCCATAGATTCGACCTAGGAAGTTACTCTTAAGGACAACGGTTGGCCATGCCTTGCAGGAACCCCAAATCTGGGACCATCTGGGTTTGTTGAGGGATGTGTGAACAAAAGGACAGAGTGAATGGGCTGGTTTATGACCGTCGTCGAGCAGACTTGATTTAACAACATTTTCTTTTTTGCAGCAGTTATTAAGCAAAAGCTGCCGTGGTTAAGTAAATCCATTCTTCCCAAAGGATGTTTTGGCCAGAAATTCGAAAGTCAACACTGGGAACCAGCGAAAAATGCGGAAAAATATGGTCCTGCGACTACAGGACAAATTACAAACAGGTCAGCCGGTTGCCAAGCATCCAAAATATAGTCCTGTGATTGGGGGAAGGTTTGCAGCTGCTGTAACTTCAACATTGGATTGTTTATGGGGAGGAGTCTGTCATAACTTTGAACAGATGCTAAGTGAGCAGTTGTAAGTCGAGGACTAACTGTATGATGGGATATAGAGAAAGATGAAGAGGTGCTGGCACAATGGTTAGAATGCAGTATTGCAGGCTAACTCTGCCCAATGTCAGGGGTTCGATCCGGATCGGCTCAAGGTTGACTCAGCCGTCAATCTTTCCGAAATGTCAGTAAAAATGAGGACCCAGATTGTTGGGGGAAATATGCGGACTCTATAATCTGCTCAGAGTGTTGTAAACCACTCTCGGGTGGGGCATATAAGTCTAAATGTTATTGGTAGGGGCTGTGGTACATGGGTCTAAAAGGAGGGAATGACAAGTTCATTATTCCAAAGTGCCCATTAAATCGGAGCGCATGTCATCCCTATGATTTACATCGTTTGCATGATGATGCTACTATGTAAACCTTGCCCATTATGTCAGCTGCGTAATGAGATCATCGCCCCAATAAAGGAAATGAGATCATTGGCTCAATGGCATCAGCAGGGCCAATGACAAAGGTGTTGTCATTGTGCAGAGGACACAAGCTGCTTTGGGAAGTGTGTTCCTTGCACACAAGATGAAGTTGTATCAAGGACTGATCAACTGAGATTTTTCCCCCACTTCTTCGGTAGAGCCAAAAAGGGCCCTACTTGGGGTTTCACCAGAGGTGGTATTCAGCTGGTTCGGACCGGTTGAATTCAGACCGGTGGTATTCAGCCGGTTCGGACCGGTTGAATTCAGACCAGTGGTATTCAGCCGGTTCGGACCGGTTGAATTCAGACCAGTGGTATTCAGCCGGTTCGGACCGGTTGAATTCAGACCGGTGGTATTCAGCCGGTTCGGACTGCTCACCCTGGCTCTATGCCATCCTATTTAGGCACATTTTTGAGGCTGGGCGCATGTGCAGAAGCGAGCGTGCATGCACGCGGCGAACCGGTAGTAACAAAATGTGAAACCCACTGCTGGGTTCCACCCCATGCTTCACTATCTCACTGGGCTACTCAAGGTGGCCCTGACAACCACTGTTGAATGCCACCGTGTTCCTGTATAGCAGGGGTGTCAAACTCAAGGCCCATGGGCCGAATCCGGGCTGTTGGGTGCTTAGATCTGGCCCGTCCATACATAGAATAGAATATCAGAGTTGGAAGGGACCTTGGAGGTCTTCCAGTCCAACCCCCTGCTTAGGCAGGAAACCCTACACCACTTCAGACAAATGGTTATCCAACATCTTCTTTAAAACTTCCAGTGTTGGAACATTCACAACTTCTGGAGGCAAAAAGAGCCTGGTGGCGCAGCAGACTAATAGCCTGTTATTATCATCCAGCTGCCTGCAATTACTGCTAGTTCGAATCTCCCCAGGCTCAAGGTTGACTCAGCCTTCCATCCTTTCTAAGGTAGGTAAATTGAGGACCCAGTTTGTGGGGGCAATAAGATGACTTTGTATAAAAATATACAAAAGTATGAAGGCTATTGCTTAATGCATTGTAAGCCGCCCTGAGTCACCGGAGAAGGGCGGCATATAAATCAAATTAAAAAAAAAAAAAGTTGTTCCACTGATTAATTGTCAGGAAATTTCTCCTTGCTTCTCTCCTTGATTAGTTTCCACCCATTGCTTCTTGTCCTGCCCTCAGGTGCTTTGGAGAATAGCTTGACTCCCTCTTCAGGCCCTGAGATATTGGAACCCTGCTCTCATGTCTCCCCAGTCCTTCTTTTCATTGAACTATCCATACCCAGTTCCTGCAACCGTTCTTCATATGTTTTAGCCACCAGTCCCCTAATCATCTTTGTTGCTCTTCTCTGCACTCTTTCTAGAGACTCCACCTCTTTTTTTACATCCTGGCGACCAAAACTGAATACAGTATTCCAAGTGTGGCCTTACCAAGGCATTGTAAAGTGGTATTAACACTTCATGTGATCTTGATTCTATCCCTCTCTTTATGCAACCTAGAACTGTGTTGGCTTTTTTGTTAGCTGCTGCACACGGCTGGCTCATATCTAAATGATTATCCACTAGGACTCCAAGATCCCCTCTCACAGTTACTACTATTGAGCAAGGTACCACACAGGGATGGGCTTCAAAAATTTTGGCAAGAGGTTCTCTGTCCAGTTCCTGGGTGGGCGTGGCCATGATGGGTGTGGCCTAGTCAGCCTCCTGCACCACGGCACGGGGGGGGGGGGGGCTTTTTGCCTTCCCCGGGCTCCGGAGGCTTTTTTCGAGCCTCCGGGAGGGCAAAAACGGCCTCCCCAGGCTCTGAAGGCCCTCTGGAGGCTGGAAAAGGGCACATTTCCGGCCTTCCCAAACTTCCGGTAGGCCCGTGTTTTGCCCTCCCTGAGCCTCTGCGTGCGCCCTGCATTTAACTGCATCCGAAACGGGCTGTGTGGGGACTCCTGGGAGGGGCGGGGAGGGGCGGGATGGGCGGGGCCAGCCCGGAGTGGGATTTGGGGGTTCTCCGAACTGCACAGAAACTAACAGTAGCAGAGTTGGAAGAGACCTCGGAGGTCATCTAGTCCAACCCCGTTCACGCAGGAGACCTGTACTAGGGATTCGAACCGCCGAACTGCCGGCCTTTCCTAATCGACAAGCTCAGTGTCTTAGCCACAAAGCCACCTCTTAGCTAAAGGTACTCCCGAACCCTTGCGAACCCACAGCAGCACACCCCTGGTACCATATGTACTGTACCTGTACATCTTAAAGATTGAGAAACACTGGCTTAGCTGGGTTTTAACTCAAGCAAGGACTGCAAATTCCAGGGAGAAAAAAAGGGGAAGGAGTGAGAGAAAGTCGCAGAAATCCTCACCTTTTCCGCAGCGCTTACGTCGATAGCAGAGGGAGACGAAGACCACTAAGAGCAAGAGAGCCACAACTCCGGACGCAGCCAAAGCACCCAGCATCAGGACAGACAGGACCTCTTTGGTAGGAAAAAAAAAACAAACCACGGCTTGGATTAGTTTCATCTCTGGACTACTACGGTCTTCTCTTCCCACTTGGAGACTCCAAGCTGGAGAAAGCTACTATCTTCTTTAGCAAGCTCCCCTCTCCTGCTTCCAAAGGCTTCAGACAAACCGGCAAAGATTCGTCTCTTTTGAACGCAGCAATGAATTTGCAGCATTTTTGGTTTGTGGGGAGAAAACAGTAGCATCAAGCTTTTAATCTGGTTGCTGGAATTAACTCCTTTTTTTTTTTGGCCAAAGCGCAAGACACCAAACTAGTCCAATGGTCTGGGTTTGCACGAGATGCCAATCAAGATGGATGCTGCATCTGGCAGGTATTTCTCTAACCTAGTAACAGTTAGTTGGGTAAAAAAAAAAAAGCATCTTTCAGGAGGAGGAGATTCAAATTAGGAAGGGGTGATCAGCTGCATCTGATGAAGAGAACCACTGTTCGCTTATCCTTCCTTTTAATAAAAATCTACGAGTTTCAAAAGGTGCTGGCAAGCAGACTGTTAGTGAAATTTGACTACACGCTAAGACATTGATATTTTCATGCATTGGTCTTACGTCTAGTTTCTATAATACATTGAACTGCAAATGATCCCTTCCTTCCTTCCTCCCTCCATTTTCTTTCCTCCCTCCCTCATCTTTCCTTCTTTTTTTCCTTCCTTTTCCTTTCTCCCTCCCTCCCTGTTTCCTTTCCTCCCACCATTCCTTATCTTTCCTTCCTTCCTCCCTCATCTTACCTTCCTTCCTCCGTTTCCTTCTTTCCTCCCTCTCCCTCCCTCCCTTCATCTTTTTCTTTCTTTCTTTCTTCCCTCCCTCCCTCATCTTATCTTTCTTCTCTTTCTTTCCTTTTCTTCCTTCCTTTTCCTTCCTTCCTTCCTCCTTATCTTTCTTATCTTTCCTTCCTTTTCCTCCCTCCCTTCATTTTCTTTCTTTCTTTTTCCTTCCTCCCTTCCCGCTCATTCTGTTTCCTTCTTTCCTCCCTCCCTTCATTTTCTTTCTTTCTTTTTCTCTTTCTTTCTTTCCCCCTCTCTTTCTTTCCTTCCTTCCCTCCCTCCCTCATCTTATCTTACATTCTATCTTTCCTTCCTTCCTTCCTCCCTCCCTCCCTCCCTGTTCTGTGCTATGAAGATGGATTGTGTGTTGCGTGAATCCTGCCAATTAGTACAACTGGCTACTGAGTCCAGGCAGCCATGACCAAACGTGGCCGAGCGAAAGGAGGAGACGCACCTTGGCGGCGTAAGCTGACTGCCACGGAGCGTGCGCCAAAGCGGTTCCATGCCGTGCAATTGTAGGGAAGCGCAAAGTCGTCGTCGTGGGTTGGGTCGATCAGCAGAGCTGAGAGCACCCCTTGCTCCGTCACTACGGTGTCCACCGTGAAACGATCCAGGGAGCCAGTATCCAGCATCCGTTCACCCCACGCCCAGGCCTGGCGCAGGAGAGAAAGGTGAGATCAAGGGGCACCAGGGAAAAACTACAGGGTAGTCCTTGACTTATGACCACAATGGAGCCCAAAATGTCTGTTGTTAAGGGAGATATTTGTTACGTGAGTTTTGCCTCATTTTACGACCTTTCTTGCCTCGGTTGTTAAGTGAATCTGGTTTCTCCATTGACTTCGCTTGTCAGAATGACCTTCACATGACCTTGGGACACAGCAACGGTCATAAACATGAGCCCGTCGCTAAGCATCTGAATTTTGATCACATGATCATGGGGATGCTGGAAAGGTCATAAGTATAAAAAACGGTCGTAAGTCTTTTTTTCAGTGCCGCTGTAATTTTGAATGGTCACTAAACAAACGGTCGGAAGTCGAGGACTAATCCTCGACTTACAACCGTTCGCTTAGTGACCGTTCATTAAAAGAGCACTGAAAAAAGTCACTTAGGACCATTTTTCACATTTATGACCGCTGCATCCCTGTGGCCATGTGATCAAAATTCGGACACTTGGCAGCTAGTTCATATTTATGACGGTTGCAGTGTCTGGTGCCTTTTGCGATCTTCTGACAAGCAAAGTCAATGAGGAAGCCAGATTCACTTAACAACCGTGTTATTAAATTAAGAATGATTCGTTTAGAAAGGTCATAAAATGGGGCAAAACTCACTTAACAAATGTCTCACTCCAGGAAGAGAAATTTTGGCCTCAATTATGGTTGTTTAGCCGTGGATACAGAGAGCGAGCATCTAGGTAGCAACTGCCATCTGGAAGTCCTTTTTACAAAAATAAACCTCTTGGCTGACTTTTTTCACTCGTGGCTCATACCGAATTGGGCATCACCAGCTCAGAAAAACTTGTTTTTTTTTTTTTAAATTATTTTTAAACAAAACATAAAACATGAATCCATCTTCCATTACAATTTCAAACAGTGTGTCGGTCGGTTACAAATCTTTTGTGCTTCATCTCCATATTCACAAAATTTACTAATGATTTAGTTTCTCATATTTTCAAACAAATAAACATCCTCCTTCATCATTTATTTAACAATGGCTTTACCGCTTCATAAAAATTATTTTCAAGTATTATATTTATAACATTCATTTGGTATTTCATAATTTCCATGCTTTCTTATCTAGCCATTGGTAAAATAAATCCCATATCTTATAATATCGTTTATCTTCTTGTTCTCTAATTTCAAAATGTCAATTTACTCATTTCGGCACATTCCATGATTTTCTTAATAATTTCATCTTGCGTTGGTATTTTCTCATTTTTCCAGTTTTTCGCAAACACAATTCTAGCCGCTGTTAAAACATTCACAATCAAATATCTCAATTCTCTTATTGTATATTTCTGGCATAATTCCTAATACAAAAAATCTCTGTCTTAAAGTCTATGTGTTTTTTTTATCATTTTTCCCAACCATGTGTGGATTATAGTCCAGTATTTTTTAGCTCCTACACATGTCCACCACATATGGTAATATGAGCCTGGAGTCTGATGACATTTCAGCTCAGAAAAGCTGTTTGTTACCTATATACATTTGCAAATCTCATTTCTGTTTACAGACTCATTGGAGGGGTGGGAAAAAAAGCTCACCGGGCTTTGAAAATGAAGCCCCCTGGGAAAGCAATTTGGAGTTGCAAATTCTGTGCTGGTTTATTCTTGGCTATTTGGTATGGTGGGAGCACAGCTAGCTCCCTTTCCCCCCCATCTCCCCCTCCCAGGAATTGCACTTCTATTTTAAAAATTCTTTTTAGCCTAGCGTTGTATTAGTGGCTGGCTGGTTGATACGATTTCCTTTTTTATAGGAACAAAAAAAGAAACAGAAAGAAAGAAAGGAAATGCATGGAGAGAAAAATGTGAACTGCGGAAAGCTGTGGTATCGCGAGCTGCATCGGGGGACTTCTGGTCGCGTCGGCTACTTAGAAAACCGAGCACATGAGGAAGCTGCACCAGTCAGCAATATGCTGTCTCATCTACTTGTTCAGGGAGAAATCAAAGGCAGAAAAAGCCTGTGTGTTCCCTGCAGTTGAGAGCATCGGAGTTCTGGGCCGCAGGAATCTGGATTCGGTGACCTGTATGTGATCTGCAAATAAAGCAGCGATGCCCAGACAGCTGGCTTTCGATTTTGCAAAAATTCATCCTCCTTTGGCTTGGCAGCCAAAGAAAATGCTGACGGTTGAGATACTGCACTGAGACCGTCCGTTCCCTCCTAAATGTCGGGGGAGGTGGTTGTCCCAAAGGTGGGGTTTTTTTTTCGAAGAGGCAACTGGACTTTCTGATTTTTTTTCTTTGAAGAACGTTTCGCTTCTCATCCAAGAAGCTTCTTCGGTTCTGACTGGATGGTGGTGGGGGAATGGAAGGATTTATAGTCCTTCCGGACAGCTGGTCATTTGCATTCTTTTAGACCAAGGGTATCAAACTCAAGGCTCGTGGGACGGATGCTGCCCTTGGGGTGTTTAGATCTGGCCCGCCGGGCTGCCCTGGAAACCACAAAGGACCAACCCGTGGTGCCTGCCAGTGAAAACGGAGCTCACGAGGGCCGCATGTGGACTTCCCGAGCTCCCTTTTTGCTGGCAGAGGGTTGCAGGAGGCCGTCGCAGCCGAAAACAGAGCTCACGAGTCCGTTTTCGCTGGCAGAGCACTCAGGCTGCCACAGGCGCCCCTGACACGAGTGGCGTTGAGCTGGCCACACCCACCCTGGCCCCTCAAGGTCAAACACAACCCTGATGTGGCCCTCAATGAAATCAAGTTTGACACCCCTGTTTTAGACAGTCGTTGAGGCCACTTGGAGCTCCTTGGCCACTCTTCAGGGTCACAGTGCAAATGCGTATGGAGAACGGGTGACCCTAAAGACACAGATTAACCTCCCAGTGGCCTCAACGACTCTCTAAAAGAATGCAAATGACCAGCTGTCCGCAAGGAATATAAATCCTTCCATTCCCCTCCACCATCCAGTCAGACCTGAAGAAGCTTCTTGGATGAGAAGCGAAACATCTTCAACGAGTGCTGTTATCTTCCCACCGAAGTGGTACCTCTTTATCTACTCTCATTCGTAGGCTTCCCTAGTTCTCTTGCAGCTAAAGGGAAGGAGGATGGGAGGAGGCCATATTCAGAATGGCAAGATTCTGTTCCTTAACCCTCTAATAAAAATAGTTTTAATAGCTATAACTTTTGGTATTCAACTTCTGCAGGGCTGGCAAATTCTGGACAGGTTAACATAGACACCGGAGCCCATTTATTTGGCTTAGAAAAGAGGTCCCCGATCTGGGCTCCCTCCAGTGGTGAAATCCCCCACGGTTTGCCACTGGTTTGCTGCCTGCACATGCGGGGTGTGCGTCAAACACATGCTGAGCGTGGAAAAAGGAGGCTTAAGAAGGTAAGTAGAATAGCGAGGGGAGGGAACAGCTGTGCCGCGTGATTTAGATTCGTTAGAAAGCAGGGTTTCCTGCTTTCTAGCTGATCTAAATCGCGCGGCACAGCTGATCATTGGAAATACCGGATCAGACGAACCAGCTGCTTTTTAAAACTACCAGTTCACATGAACTGATAGCTTTTATTACTACCGATTCGCCCGAACCAGTGCGAACCGGTAGCATTTCACCCCTGGCTCCCTCCCTCTTTCCGGTTGGACAATGCTGGTTTGCATCCTCAAATGGAGCCCTGCTCGGTGTAATTATGGCCTGCAGCTTTTCTGGGGTTGATTCTCTTGGCACCTCCTCCTCACTCCAAGGCCCTTCCCTACAGTAATTTAATGGTCTTGCATAGGTTTGATTTTCGGAGAAGAGCAATAACAGGACTGCACATCGAACCCGGAAAGAATTCTCCACGGAGGCAGGCAGGTAAGCCTGAGTATTTTTGCAACCTAAGCCTGCTGAGCTTTGGGGAGAAGATGAGAAATTGGATTTTAGACTTATTGTTTCATTAATAATTCCACTCCAGCCTTCTTGCTGTTTTTAACTGTTTGTACACCCATCAATTACACTTTTTTTTTTTTTAAAGGTGGTGCTTCATTGTTTGCTAGTGGCCTGGAGGCTTCTCTGAAGCACGCATGACAAGGATATGAATGGGTGGAAAATAAAGCAGTTGCCATAGTTTTCGTGGTCAGCAAGGCAGAAGCGGGAGCAGCCATGCAAATGAGCTCACTGCCTATATGTAACAGAGCCTCCTCTTAGAAATCCCTGGGGGATAAATGTCCTTTCATCTAGCTTAGCAGGAAGATTTGCCCACGTTGTCAGAATCTACCAGGTTCAGACTGGTACGATAGAAAGACCTGAACCACTGCTGGCCTTAATGTCAGAGCCTTTTTGGTGTTGGCCCCTCATCTTCTGCAAAAATGTGTGGTGCTGATAATGGCTCCACCAAGGTTGGCCATCCAAAGCAGTGGTGGGTTTCAAAAATTTTTTACCACCGGTTCTGTGGGTATGGCTTAGTGGGCGTGGCATGGCTTGGTGGGCGTGGCGGGGGAAGGATACTGCAAAATCCCCATTTCCTCCCGATCGGCTGGGACTCGGGAGGCAGAGAATCGATGGGGGCGGAGCCAGTCAGAATTTTTACTACCGGTTCTCCGAACTACTCAAAATTTCCCCTACCGGTCAGAACTGGTCAGAACCTCTGATCCAAAGGGTTTTGAAGGCAAAATACGGGTAGTTCTTTAATACAGATTAACAGAGTTGGAAGGGTCCTTGTATGTCATCTAGTCCAGGGGTGGGCAAATGTGGCTCTTTTACAACCTGTGGACTTCAACTCCCAGAATTCCTAAGACAGCCAAGCTTGTCTAGTCCAACCCCCCGCCCAAGCAGATCCTACACCCATGATGGCGAACCTATGGCATGTGTGCTGGAAGTGGCACGCAGAGCCATCTCTCCGGGCACGCCAGCCATCGTCTGTTGCTCTTCCAGTTTCTGGTGAGCGCATGCGCGCTGGCCAGCTGGTGTTCATGCGTGGGGGAGCACCGGAAACCGGAAGAGCAGTTCCTTGGCACGCATGCGTGTGCTGGGAAGCTGAGCTTCCAGGTTCCATAGTGCGCATGTGTGCCGGCCAGCTGGTCTTCATGCGCGCATGCACACCAGAATCTGGAAGACCAGATGATCAGTGCGCATGCTCAGCTTCCCGGCACACGCATGCATGCCAAGGAGCTGCTCTTCCGGTTTCTGGCGCTCCCCCGCACGCGTGCCCGCACTCTCGTTTTGGCACGTGCCAACAAGGCTCACCAAAACTCCCCTACACCATTTCTGACAGATGGCAACTCAGTCTCTTCTTGAAAGCTTCCAGGGATGAAGCTCCCACAGCTTTCGAAGGTAAAGTGTTCCATTGGTTGATTGTTATCACTGTCAGAAAGTTCCTCCTCATTTCCCTTTTTTTTAAAAAATTTGATTTATATGCTGCCCTTCTCTGGAGACTCAGGGCGGCTTACAATGTGCTAAGCAATAGCCTTCATCCTTTTGTATATTTATACAAAGTCAGCTTATTGTCCCCACAATCTGGGTCCTCATTTTACCTACCTTAGAAAGGATGGAAGGCTGAGTCAACCTTGAGCCTGGCGAGATTCGAACCTGCAGTAATTGCAGGCAGCTGGTCTTAATAACAGGGTGCTTTAGACCACTGTACTACCAAGGCTCCTTGATCAGTTTCCATCCATTATTCCTTGTCTGGCCTTCAGGTGCCTTGGAAAATAGCTTGACCCCCTCCTCTCTGTGGCAGCCCCTCAAGTACTGGAACGCTGCTATCATGTCTCCCCTGATTCTTCTCTTCACTAGACTAGCCATGCCCAGTTCCTGGAACCACTGAGCCACCGCATCCCTTTCACTAGGTGACTAGAAGGCCACTAAAAGTTTGAAATACTTACGATCCTGTCCGGCCGTGGCACGCTTTCCACCAAGCATTCCAGACGGGCCTTGGCCCCCACTGCTGTCTGCTGGCTTGATTCAGCACTGATAATGGGTGGACCTGGAAACAAAGACCCAACCTGAGCACATGAAGAGGTTTTGGAGTCCTCGGTGCTCTCTGAGCTTGGTTGCTTAGTTGCAACCACATTTCATTGTGAAACTACCATAGGCAACATCATCAGTGGCTTATGAGTGTGGGATTTGCTCCCTCTTTCTTACGTGCTTTCGAACTGCTAGGTTGGCAGAAGCTGGGACAAGTAACGGGAGTTCACCCCGTTACGCGGCACTAGGGATTCGAACCGCTGAACTGCCGACCTTTCAATTGACAAGCTCAGCATCTTAGCCACTGAGCCACCACATCCCTAATATATGTTGTATGTGTATATATATATCTTCAACATATTTATGCTCATCTGCAACATATGTATAGATAGATATAGATAGATATTGATATATATTGATATATGTTGAACATACGTTGTAGACGAGCATAAATATGTTGAAGATGTACAGTACATCTACAATACTGTAGATTGTTACATGTTGCAGACACAAGCTCAGAGCACCAAGGACTGAGCTCCATATATTCTTTTCTATTGAAAATTAGAAGTTGCCAGGTGACCTCTTAACTCCTCATTGAAAAGCTCCTGAAGACTCAGATAAGGTCTTAGGCCCGGAGCTCCCAAGCAACTGGAGATTGGCTCAGATGGCTTCATTGACAAGGTTGCCATTTTTATCCTCTCCCACCTGGGGGTTTGTATTTTTAGCTTTTATGATGTTTCATAATATGTATTCATACTTTAAATTTCTGCTTAATTTGTTGTTTATTGCCAAGCCATCTATAGTGAGATGAAGGCCATAGAAACTTGAATGAATGAATGAATGAATTGAATTTTGTAGGGAATCATATGATATGATTACAATTTGATGGCTTCAATAAATGAGGATGGGGAAAGTCTTACTTTTCTCTTTCCTCACAGCAATTCCCCCCTCCCTCTGTTTGGCAAATGGTTTGAACCATCTCCCCCCACCCCCTTTGCCAGATTCGCCCTTCCAAGCCTTGAACTCTTACCATTCACAGCCAGGGTCACTTCTTTCTCGGCCACTCCAATGCGAGGCACGATGGCTTTGCACACGTACACCCCGGCATCCTCTTGTGTCACTGCTTTGAGATGCAACGTGTTGCCGTTACTCAGCACCTGTGGATACAAGTTGGCTCAGTTGACCATGTCTTCCGTAATGGCCAAGGAGATTCTAAAAATACCAGGGAGAAGGGTGGGCTTCAAAAATTTCAGCAAGGGGTTCTCTGTCCAGTTGCTGGGTGGCCGTGGCCATGGTGGGTGTGGCCTAGTCGGCCTCCTGCACCACGGCGGGAGGGGGGCTTTTTGCCCTTCCCGGGCTCCAGAGTCTTTCCTTGAGCCTCCAGGAGGGCAAAAACGGCCTTCCCAGGCTCCGGAGGCCCTCTGGTGGCCAGAAATGGGCCCATTTCCAGACTTCCCAAACTTCTGGTAGGCCGGTTTTTCGCCCTTCCCGAGCCTCCATGTGCCCCCTGCATTTATCTGCATCCAAAACGGGCTGTGTGGGGACTCCCGGGAGAGGCGGGATGGGGTGGGCGGGGTGGGGCCAGCCAGGAGTGGGATTTGGGGGTTCTCAGAACTGCACAGAATCTTAGATAGAGGTTCTCCCAAACTCCTGCGAACCCCAAGCAGCCCACCCCTGGCAGGGAGGCCATGTGTTGCCCATTCCCATTTGAAAGGTATGAGTTGGAAGGAGTCTGGTAGCATTTTGTCCCACTTTTTACTAAAAGGCGTAAGTTTCCCCAAGCTGCAGCCTCCCTTCATCAATTGCGTGGCATCTTTTGATTAAATTCATAAATTGCAAGAGGTGCTACCATGCCTCTGACGATTTGGGGCTTCTGCTGATTAACATGGCATTTCTCCTACAATGTCCCTTTATGAAGGCCATGAGGGATCAGTGGGACCAGATCTTTTGTTAGTGGTGGGCCCAGTTTTGGTATTGTTTACCAGTTGCAAAGATAGAAATCAGGGCCAATTTAGATCTGGGGAGGCCCTAATATAGGGGTGTCAAACTCACGTCATCACAGCATCATCACGTGACGTATTGGATCTTTTTTCCCCTTTGCTAAACCGGGCGGGGGTGGGGCCAGCACATGATGCATCTGGCCTGCGTGCCGCAAGTTTAACACCCCTACCCTAATATATATATATATATATATATCTTGGTTATATCCATGTTGCTTGGCTGATGCCTGAGTTTGGCTCTTTGGTTAAAACTTTGGTGAACGTCTCACATTCTGACTCTTGCCTACCTTCTGATGCTGAGCTTGTGCAGAGAAAATGGAAATTGACTGTCAAAGCTGAACTCACCACAGTGGATCCTTTCTTTGTCCAGGCCAAAGTAAGAGGTGGGTTCCCTGTCCAGGTGCAGGTAAAAGAGGCATCTGAGCCGATGTCCACGGTCAAGGGCTTGGGCTGGGAGACAAGGTGAGGCCCAACTATAGGAGCAAAAAAAGAGGAAAGGGTTGGTTGTACATCAGTGACAGCAGCCAATAAGTTGGTAGAGGCATCAGGGTTCCACTTCACTACGTAGTCTATATCTTATCTCTTTGTCTACCTCCAAGTGTCTATGGAGATTCTCAGTCATCCAGGTCATGGTTGTCCCAAAGGTGCTTTTTCAAGAGGCAACTGGACTTTCTTTGTTTTTCCTTTGTTTCGCTTCTCATCCAAGAAGCTTCTTTGGTACTTGACTGAAGTTCTTCCGTTCAGCCCAGAACTGAAGATGTTTCTTGGATGAGAAGTGAAATGTCTTCAAGGAAAAACCAAGAAGGTCCAATCGCCGCTTAAAAAAGCACCTTCGGGTCTATCTCGGAGTGTTTCTCAAGCTCAGCAACTTTAAGAGGTGATGAGTTCAACCCAACCCCACCCCCAAATGGTCATTGTTTCTATATCCCTGGTTTACCTATAGAATAGAATAGAATAGAATAGAATAGAATAAATAGAATAAATAGAATAGAGTAGAGTAGAATAGAGTAGAATAGAGTAGAGTAGAGTAGAATAAATAGAGTAGAGTAGAGTAGACTAGAGTAGACTAGAGTAGAGTAGAATAGAATAGAATAGAATAGAATTCTTTATTGTCCAAGTGTGATTGGACACACAAGGAATTTGTCTTTGGTGCATAGGCTCTCAGTGTACATAAAAAAATAAAATAAAATATATTCGTCAAGAATCATAAGATACAACACTTAGTGATAGTCATAGGATACTAATAAGCAATCAAATCATACTAGGAAACAATAAAAACAATATAAGTTGTAAAGATACAAGCAACATGGATATAGCCATAAATCATAATAATAGGTAATCATAATCATCATCATCATAATAAGCCATAATAGAAATGACAGGTTTAGTCCCCAGGGAAGTGCTAGGGGGAAAGAAAAACTTGCCGAAACCCCCCAACCCCTTCCCTCATCCCTTCTTGAAAATTTTGACTTACAATGGACATCCACCAGAGTGCTAACATTGGTGCTGCCCACAGCGTTGGACACTTCGCACGACACAGGCTCTGTGAAGAAAGACTGGTCAACTGTGGCTTCGTAGCTGTCACCGTTGGCCTCTGGGACGGGGACGCCTCCTTTAGCCCACCTGTCAAGGGAGAGACGGTCTTAGGAGACCTTGACTCAACATGGTATGCTCTTCAAACTGTAAACAAGTAGGAAGTCACGAATCACAGTCACGTGACATCATGCTAAACGACTGTGGGGAAGTTTGCTTGCTGACTGGAGCTGGAACTGACGATCCGAAGTCTGGGGAAGTCACCCGACATTTCATTTTACAACTACGTCACTGTTGTGGCCCGTCAGCAGCCTGTGCAGCTGGCGCTCGAGTCAGACAATGAGGAGGCTGGAGAAGATGTGGTGCCAGAGGCGGGGATTCAGCCAGGGCCTTCAGAACCTCCAGAAGCTCCCATAAGTGAAGAGGAAGAAGAGGAGGAGCCTCTTTTTGATGCACAGGCACGCAGAGTTGCCAAAAGGCAGGAGTGGCTCCTCAGGAGGAGGTCTCCTCGAGAGTAAGGCTTGGAGCTAATTGGCCACTCCCTTAGCCTATTTAAGGAAGGACGACGACTGAGGCAATTTGCAGGGAACAACTTCGTTCATTCTCCTTCGCGTCCTGATCTTAGTTCTCTTATCAGTGTCTTGCAAATTGCTTCTGGGCTTTCTGCCAATCAAGGTAAGATTACGATTATTTATTCTTTGGATTCTTGTAGGCTGTTAAGAAAGTTAATTAACAGCCTTTATTTGAAAAAGACTGATTTAATTTAGTAAACTAAGGTTTGTACAGACTTTGTGTGCGCTGCGTTCTTTGGGGTCCGTAGCTGGGGCAGAACAGTCGCTTAGGGATAAAAAGAGGTGCAGACCCCAATTGCGGTCAGTAAGCGAGGACTTCATCTGTATAACTGAGCATGCAATCCTCCACGTTGCCATTAGAGGGCACCTCAACCACACAATTGCTCTATTCGAATTCTAGCATCTGCAGCTTCTTCATATTTTAATTCTTACCGGTAACCGGTCACTTCAGGATTAGACGTTGCGGTGCAGTGGAAACTCACTTTGCCACCCTCGGGCACAGTTTGTGGCTGTACTGACAGGATCACAACGGGTGGATCTGTAAAGCGGAGAAGAGAGACGGGGAAAAAAAAATCCCAATTGGTTTTATTTTTTCATTCTACAATTTTTCCATAGGCCAATACTATGCACATACCGTGTTTCCCCGAAAATAAGATTTTAATTTTTTTTTTGTGCTCCAAAAGATGCATTAGGGCTTATTTTCAGGTTAGGTCTTATTTGGGGGGAGGGAAATACCCTGTTATTAACACAGCTGCCTGCAATTTCTGCAGGTTCGAATCTTACCAGGCTCAAGGTTGACTCAGCCTTCCATCCTTTCTAAGGTAGGTTAAATGAGGACCCAGTTTGTGGGGGCAATAAGCTGACTTTGTATAAATATACATAAGTATGAAGGCTATTGCTTAACGCATTGTAAGCCACCCTGAGTCTCCAGAGAAGGGCGGCATATAAATCAAATTAAAATTAAATTAAAATTAAAATAAGGTACTAAATGCACCCATCTGGCTGACAATCTTAACTGGGGCTTATTTTGGGGGTAGGGCTTAAATTACGAGCATCCTAAAAAATCATGCTAGGGTTTATTTTCTGGCTGGGTCTTATTTTCGGGGAAACAGGTTAGTTTTGTACATAGTTCAATACAGTGACCCCCACCCCCAAAGATCATTAGCCTCATAATTCTCTCACACCCTAATCTTCATCAACCCCAAATTTTGGAAACCAATCCTGCAAAGTGGGAGGATTATTATGGGATATGCTGTCTAGTTCTGCCAGCAGCGACTTGGCTCCCTTGCTGTCTGTTTGCAGATCTAATTGGATCCCCTTGCTGTCTGTCTTGCAAGTTAGCTGCTCCATTCTAAGTAGAGTTAGATCTTCTTGGAGGCAACACCAAAATCAGGGAGCTACAATCCCACTTGCTTGCTGTTTCAGGTTTCCTGGCCTTCTCTCAAGGATCAGGTATCTGATTTTCAGGACCCACTGAGTTAAATATTTGTCTCCAACTTAATCGTTTTGACTGTGTTTCTCTGTGCTCAGGGCTTCGAAGAGTCTTAGAATGCTGAGGTCAGCTTCTATAGGCAAGCTCATATTTATAGAACTGTACAGGATCCTAAAATTGGAAGAAATTACTTTTAACCTTCAGGTCCAACCCCACAGCTCAGTGGAGGAATCCAAATTAAAGCATTCAGACCGATGGTTGTCCTCCTCTGCTTGGACCACTTCTGATGAAGGTCAACCTACTTCACCTCCAGATCACTGGCTCCATTACTGAATGGCTCTTGCAGCTCGAAAGCTTTTCCTAACACTCAGACAGAGAATCTGCCATCCCCATAATTCATTTTTTTTTCTTTCTGTCCTCCACTTTAGAACATCTCAGGCATTGTTTCTGGTATCTGAAAAATGCTATTGTGTGGGTGCGTCCTCTCTTCTCAAAGTTAAACATTCTCAATGCCTCCTTAAGAGTTTCCAGGTCTCTAGTGGTAAAAGAACCTCCCCTTTCACAAAGCAAATTATAAACTGGGAATTCATTTGTGTAGGTCACCTCCTAGAGACCTTAGTCCAGATCTTGGATTGACACTCTTGATCTTTGATTTGCGGTGGGAGGGGGGAAACGATACTCCGTGAAGATGATTGGGGGAGAGGGGCAGGACACAAATGTAATAAATACATCTGTGTCTCGCCATTAGCTCAGTTATCTTGAGCTAATCATTAAATTATGAGCCACGGTGGTTAGAGTGCAGTACTGCAGGCTACGTCTGCTGACTGCTGGCTGCCTGCAATTTGGCAGTTTGAATCTCACCAGGCTCAAGGTTGACTCAGCCTTCCGTCCTTCAGAAGGTCGATAAAATGAGGACCCAGATTGTTGGGGGGCAATACACTGTAAACGGCTTAGAGAGCACTATAAAGCACTGTGAAGTGGTGTATAAGTCTAAGTGCTACCCTGTTTTCCCCCAAAATAAGACATCCCCTGATAATAAGCCCAATCGGGCTTTTGAGCGCATGGCAATAAGGCCAAGCACTTATTTCAGGGTTCAAAATTGTAAGACAGGGTCTTATTTTCGGGGAAACACGGTATTGCTATTAAGAGTCCTTCCAAACTCAGTGGTCTACTTGGCCGTTCCTTGGCCACAAACCCAAGCGCAGGTATCTCTAACTCATCCCTTCCTTCATCCAGTCCTCCCGACTAGGTCCGTGCCTTGGATACTCACACTGAACATTAAGGGTGACCGTGGTCTGCTTGCCAGCGGGGGCTGCCGGGTTGCTGACACGACAGGTGAAGGTGCTGCCCATGTCTCGGCTGCTTGGAATTAAGAGGAAGGTGCTGACAGCCACTTCCCGCTTGCCATCATCCATCAGGGACTGGAGGAGAATAAAAAAGAAGCATTTTTTAAAAATAGCCAAACTTCTAGCAACTCTAGGGCCGGATGTTATAGATCTAGAATGCCATGGATTGCTCACAATTGGTTTGGAAATGGGCCTACTCTTCCCTTGTTCCTCTCTTTCTTACAAACAGGTCCACATCATGGATTTTGAGACTTCACCTTAACTTGCCCATTTGTCAATATCATAGAATTATAGAGTTGGAAGCGGGGGTGGGTTTCAAAAATTTTAGCAAGGGGTTCTCTGCCCGGTGGCTGGGTGGGCCTAGCCATGGTGGGCGTGGCCAAGTTGGCCTCCTGCCCCCGGAGACTTTTCTCCAGCTTCTGGGAGGGCAAAAACGGTCTCCCCAGGCTCCAGAGGCCAAAACGGGCCTACCGGAAGTTTGGGAAGGCCGGAAACGGGTGCGTTTCTAGCCTTCCTGAACTTCTGGTAAGCCCATTTTTCGCCTTCCCTGAGCCTCCACGTACGCCCTGCACTTACCTGCATCCAAAATGGGCCGTGTGGGGACTCCTGGAAGGGGTGGTGGTGGGATAGGCGGGGTCAGCCAGGAGTGGGATTTGGGGGTTCTCTGAACTGCACAGAATCTTAGCTAGAGGTTCTCCTGAACCCCTGTGAACCCCCAGCAGCCCAACTCTGGTTGGAAGGGACCTTGGTGGTATTCTAATCCATGCCCCTGAACAACCAAGGGTCCATAAATCATCACCCCCCCCCAAAATAGTTATCCTAACTTTTCCTGAAAACCTCCAATGATGGAGGCAAGCTCCATCAATTTCAGGAGGCGAGCTCTTCCACTGCTTGTCTATGAAGATTCTCAATCATCCAGGTCCTGGTTGTCCCACAGGTGCTTTTACCAAAAGGCAGTTGGACTTTCTTGTTTTTCTCCTTTAAAAACGTTTCGCTTCTCATCCAAGAAGCTTCTTCAGACCTCTGAATAAGATGATGAGAAGTGAAACATTTTCAAAGGAAAAACAACAACAACAACAACCCAAGACAAGTCCAGTTGCCTTTTGGACAAAAACACCTTTGAGTCTTCCACTATTTCTCAGTTCTACGTAATCCCTACTTATTTCCAAACTGGATCTCCCTCTGACATTGCCCCAATGGGCAATTCTGACCACTAGTGATGGAAAACTGTCAGGCTTGCTTATTCCAATTCCCAGGTTGCTCCTACACTCTGTGGGAACCAAAGCTCAACCTCATTGACTCACCTTGGAATAAACAGCTGACTCTTGTCGTTGCCCGTCACGATACCAGGTGATTTCGGCTGCTGGCTTGGCTCCAGTTGCGCGGCACGAAAGGTTGTAGGGGATGTTGGATATGACATGGACAATGGGGCCATTGTGAATCTCAGGGTCATTGGGGGGGACTGCAAGAACAGAGGCAGAGAGGTATGGTTGGTTATCTTGTCATAGGTAAAGGTAAAGGTTCTCCTCACACATATGTGCTAGTCGTTCCCGACTCTAGGGGGCGATGCTCATCTCCGTTTCAAAGCCGAAGAGCCAGCACTGTCTGAAGACGTCTCTGTGGTCATGTGGCCAGCATGACTCAATGCCAAAGGCGCACGGAACGCTGTTACCTTCCCACCAAAGATGGTCCCTATTTTTCTACTTGCATTTTTTACATGCTTTCAAACTGCTAGGTTGGCAGAAGCTGGGACAAGTAACGGGAGCTCACCCCGTTAAGTGGCACTAGGGATTAGAACTGCTGAACTTCCAACTTTTTGATCGACAAGCTCAGCGTCTTAGCCACTGAGACACCGGGTCCCTGAATAAAACCTTGTCTTAGAAACAAGCAGGTCTGAGAATGACCAACTGTTGGCTAACCGCAGGACAATTCATTCACTAATAGAAGAGAATATTTGTAGCTTGGGGTTGAACTGTGGAGTCCTTGGTATTCTCTGAACTTGGTTTCTTTCCTTGCAGATGTTTCATTCTGAGCCATGGTGGCGCAGTGGTTAGAGTGCAGTACTGCAGGCTCCGTCTGCTGACTGCCTGCTGCCTGCAATTTGGCAGTTCAAATCTCACCAGGCTCAAGGTTGATTCAGCCTTCCATCCTTCTGAGGTGGGTAAAATGGCAGAGGCACTGCAGGCTGGTCCTTCGCTGTTTCCAGGACAGCGCCACGGGCCAGATCTAAGCACCCCGCGAACCAGATCCAGCCCCCAGGTGTTGAGTTTCACACCCCTGAACCAGAAGAATCAACAAGAGACCCTGGCAGACAATATTAGATGTTTGAGTTTCTCTTGGTATATATTAGTTGGGGGATAGCTTTTCAGGAGATCACAAATTGGGATTCTGAAACACTGGCATCATCTCACCAACAAAAACAGGAAGGGAACTCACTAAGTACAGTAAGTTTGGCTCGCTGGGAGCGCAGGGCTGCTTGTGTGGCTTGGCACTCGTAAACAGCATCGTCGTCTAGTTCAGCATAGTCGATGCGTAAGTTGTGTTGACCAGCAGAGGCATCTCCTACGATAGAATAGCGGGACCAACCTGTGGAGAAAGCCATATAGGATAAGATGTCAGCCTTTACCAGGTAGATCAGATACGAAACATGTCCAGATAAACTAACTCTACTTTATTCTAAAGTTAGATTAATAGAATCTTGCAAGTCTGAAAATAGACATCTCCCACCATTATTTTTTTGCAGCCTAAGAACTTAGGGATGGTCTCTTCTAACGAGTCTCTTGCTATGCCCGCTGTACAGCTGTGGGCTATGCTCTGTCTTATCCGATCGTTCTCTAGGGAGTATCTCTTTTCCTGGTCTCCCAAGGTCTTTCCCGCACACCATTACAAGGATGAAACCAGGATTGAAAAATTCAGTTCTGTGTCGCTCAGGATGAGTTTGAATTATGAAGAGCCTCGGTGGCGCAGTGGTTAGAGTCAGTGGTGGAATTCAATTTTTTTTACTACCGGTTCTGTGGGTGTGGCATGGTGGGCATGGTGTGGCTTGGTGGGTGTGGCAGGGGAAGGATACTGCAAAATCTCCATTCCCTCCCCACTCCAGGGGGAATGATACTGTAAAAACTCCATTTCCACCCCCCTTTGGAGCCAGCCAGAGGTGGTAATTGCCAGTTCTCCGAACTACTCAAAATTTCCGCTACCGGTTCTCCAGAACTTGTTAGAACTTGCTGAATAGCACCCCTGTTAGAGTGCTGTACTGCAAGCCACTTCTTCTGACTATTGGCTGCCTGCAATTTGGCAATTCAAATCCCACCAGGCTCAAGGTTGACTCAGCCTTCCATCCTTCCCCAGATTGTTGGGGGCAAAAGGCTGACTCTGTAAACCGCTTAGAGAGGGCTGCAAAGCACTGTGAAGCGGTATATAAGTCTAAGTGCTATTGCTATTGAAATTTCAGTTCTGTGTCGCTCAGGATGAGATTGAATGATGATCAACACCTATTGCAATTTGTGGTAAGCCACTATTTCTGCCAATAAGGTTCTATGGGTGTCCTTCGGGGGTGGGTTCTAAAATTTTTTACTATCGGTTCTGTGAGTGTGGCTTATTTTGTGGGCATGGTTTGATGGTCATGTGACAATTCTTTAGGATTTAGCAGAGGTATTGGTCTACCAGGCTTTTAACTGCTTGCAGAGCTGTACTGGTCTACCCATTTGTTTTTGGAGCGCACTGGTCTACCACCACACTGCCATTTACCGCTGATCAGCTGTAGGGCGGCCCTTTGAAGTCCTGCGGCAAGAGTTTAAACAGTTTTTTGCTGCTCTGCCACCACCGAGAGCATCGGAAACCGTTTTCAGGCAGCTTGGCCTCAATTGCCAATCTACCACCACTGAGAGATTTACAAGGAGCGGATCAGCTCTAGCCAATCAGTTGGGAGGTTTCTTGGCTTCTCAATTTAAAACTACCTGTCTTGGTTTTTTTTCCCTCTTCTTTGTCAAGTGAGCCCTGATTTTTTCCTTCTAGCCAATCAGCTGGGACTCGGGAGGCAGTGAATAGATTGGGGGCGGGGCCAGGCAGAGGTGGTATTTACCGGTTCTCCGAACTACTCAAAATTTCCACTACCGGTTCCCAAGAACCGGAGAGGACCGGTAGCAGTCCACCATTGGTGTCCTTCCTCCAGTCATCTACCACGTCTCTCTTAATAGGGGTCGTGACAGACCTACCGGGTAAGTCTCTCTCTCCTCCTAAGGCCAGTCCATCCTTGGTCCACTGAACCATGCCACGGTAGCCCATGATCACACATGCTAATGTCACCGATTGACCGGACACAATCACTTGATCCATCGGCTGTTGAAAGAAATAGGCAGCCAACCCTGCGAAAACAAAAAACAAAGATTTAGAGTCAAGACTGTTTAGTGATCCTAATGAAGAAATCAGGACTTTTTGGCTGGAGCTTCAGAGGAGATACGCTTGAACTGATTTGCTGAATTCAGACTGATGGTCTGCCAAGACCAGCATTTCGTTTCTGCCAATGGCCCATTTATCTTGGAAAGTTTACAGGAATGGAGAAAACACAAGGCTTATCCAATATTGGCTTTGGGGCCTGCTACTAGTGGCATTACTGTACCACTTCTATACATGGAGGATCGACATCGCTATTTTATCTAAAAGCAGGTTTCCCCCCTCCACCTGTAAGGTGTTTTTCTGTGATTAGCGGTTCTGAATTAGTACATTTTTTTTAAAAGGTAAAATTTATGCCACCTGTAACATGAATCAGACCAATCCGCCCTATCTGAAAACCTGCAGTGTTGTTGGCAGACATCAATATGAGCCAATTTTCTATGCTCCTATCAATATGCTAACGGGATATTTGCTTTGCATGCAAAACATTTCAGGCGAGCTCCATCTCTTTCCCCTCCAGTAAGACTAGGAATGATCTTCATTTGAAATTTAACTAAAGGCATTCCAGGGCATGGGAGTGGTGTTTGATATAGGCCACTGCCCAGGATCTGTCAAGACGACATTTGGAATTTCTCTCAAGTGGGTCCTGGAGATCTCACACTTGCTTGACTGTGAGAAGACCAGGGGATGTGCTGAGGGAGTGAGGATTATCCATTGCACAATCGACTTCTCAGCACTCTGGTGCTACTCTGGTTTTCCATTACTGTCCAAGGGAAGGTGTCAAAAGAGAATTCCACCAGTGTGTTCTGACCAAGGCTTCCTCAGCAGCACGAAGCCGTCCCGATAAACCCCTTTTATCACTGAATTCCTCTCCAGCAAAGTCTTTCCTCTCCCACAGTCTTTAAAGATAGTTCACAATTACCAACTTTTACCAGGCTTGGAGAGTGGCCAGGCCCATATCTTTCAGATGCCACAATACTTAGCAAGAACGCAGTAATGAACTAATTGCCTCCTGCAAACTCCACTCCCCTTTCGCTCCTCTTTTATTCCCTCTGGGAGGGGCCATTCATTGTCCACCTGTGGCCTTACTCCCAAGTCGACCCTTGTTATTTAGCTGTTCCCTTCATCTGGCAACTCTGCGCATGCGCACACTGGGAACAGGCTCCAGCTGTTCGTCTGCCTCACTGATGTCTGACTCCAAAGGCAGCTGATAACTGGCATACGGCCCTGGCCCCCTCTCTGCCTTCGACACAGACCCCTCATCAGAGCCTTCCCCAGACTCCAGGACTGGCCCACGTTCCTCCCCAACCTCCTCACTGTCTGAATCTGCTGGCAGATCCGCTGTCCGGCTACAACACAGTGGGCCTTTTTTCCTATGGGGCAGGAAAGTACAGCAACAGCTCCCCATCCCTCACTTTGCAATTCAGAGCAACACTTACAAATCCTGCCCGGACAACCAGTAATAAATGCTAAGCGTAAGGCGTAAGGTAATAAAATGTAAACTCCATTTTTACTCTTTGTAAAAAATAAATAAATAAAATCTTCCAATTACCAGGGTCTGTGTTTTGCCAACACCAACCCCCAATAACGATCTGAATGTGTTTCTTGCATATTCCCGGTGTAATTTCTCTTCCGGTGGCCAAAGCCATTTTCCACTGCAATTCAAAGCTTGCCTACACAGAAACAATTCCTACTGAATTACCAATTCAACGGGGCTTACTCTCTAGAGTAAGGGCTGCATTCTTCCTCTTTTGTGTGAGAGCTGAAAAAACGGCCTAAAATGTGGAGAAGAAGAAAAGGGTGATAGAGCGTGCCTTGTTATTATTACTTTTAAAGAAGACACCGTTGCCCTCAGGTTCCTGGCCTAGCCTTATCTCTCCACACAGATGCTCAGGTGCAGCCTGCTGCGCTGCGAGTTTGCTCTTCGGCCAAGAAAAGTTCTGCTGTGCTCCACAGTACTCCTACAAAACTACTTTTCTTTCCTGCCTTCTCTGCGTCGCTCTTGGCAAATGCATTTAAAGGTAGCTCAGAGTTGGCAGACCTCCAGAATTGTACACGGACAGGTGTGTGCATACCAATGTACTATCGGAGGACTAGAATCATAGAACTTTTCTTTCTACTTAAATCAAGGCAGGAGCGGGCAGTCAACAGGATCATGGTGACATGCGTGTGAATAGATGGGTAGATTTATTCATTTATTTATTTTATTTTATTTATATGCCGCCCTATCTCCATAGGACTCAGGGCTGACAACAATAAAATATCCAATAAAACATATATATATATATATTTTAAAATTTGATTTATATGCCGCCCTTCTCCGGAGACTCAGGGCGGCTTACAATGCGTTAAGCAATAGCCTTCATACTTTTGTATATTTTACAAAGTCAGCTTATTGCCCCCACAATCTGGGTCCTCATTTCACCTACCTTAGAAAGGATGGAAGGCTGAGTCAACCTTGAGCCTGGCAAGATTCGAACTTACTAATTGCAGACAGTTGGAGTTAATATTTAACTATTAATATTAAAATACATGTTAACGCCCCCAGTCCAGGTTGAACAACCATGTCTTTAAGTCACGTCGGAAGGTGCGGCGGTCAGGGGCCAACCGGAGCCCCAGAGGAAGTTGGTTCCAGAGGGTGAGAGCACCCACAGAGAAAGCTCTACCTATAGGGATCGCCAGTCGACACTGTCTAGCCGACGGCACCCTGAGTAGGCCCTCCCTGTGAGAATGCACCGGGCGATGGGGAGCTGTTGCTGGTTGCAGATGGTCCGACAAATATCCTGGGCCTAAGCCATGAAGGCCTGTAAGATTGATCTTATTATTCCATTCATTTACGGAAGGCGTTGTGCTTTTGAATCCCGTTCTTTAATGAAAGAATGAAATAGATTTATAAAGAAACAAAAAAGAGACTTTAGAAAGAGTGTGGGGAAGAGCAGTAAAGATAATTAGGCTGCTGGGGGCTAAAACACAGGAACTGGGTGTGTCTAGTCCAGGGATCAGCAACCTGCGGCTCTGGAGCCACATGTGGCTCTTTCACCCCTCTGCTGCGGCTCCCTGTCACTCAAAATATGCGTCACAACCGCCAATGTGCGACACCCGCCAGCACACAATTTATTGAGCTTTTCAACCCCTGGTAGGCCAACCATGGATAAATCCAAGAAAAGAAAAGTTTCAGAAGAAAACAGAATGTTTAATGCAACTACATATGCTAGTTTTGTGGCCACTCAAGAAATAGTCAGGCACGGGAAGGGTTTTGTGGCTCCCGGTGTTTTCTTTTCTGTGGGAAATGGGTCCAAATGGCTCTTTTGAGTGTTTTAAGGTTGCAGACCCCTGGTCTAGTCTAATAAAGAGAAGGACTGGGGTGACATGATAATAGTCTTCCAATATCTGAGGAGTTGTCACCAAGAAGAGGGGGAACAACCTATTCTCCAAAGGACCTGACGGCAGGGACAAGACGTAATGGATGGAAAAAAGAGAGATTCCAACCTAGAACTAAGACGAAATTTCCCGACAGTGAGAACAATTCATCAGTGGAATGGCTTGCCTTCGTAAGTTGTAGATGTTCCATTACTGAAGGTTTTTAAGAAGAGATTAGACAGCAATTTGTCCAGAATGGTATAGGGTCTCCTGCTTGACCAAGAGGTTGGACTAGAAGATCTCCAAGGTCCCTTCTAACTCTGTTATGCTTTTATTCTGTTAACTGCTGCTTCTCATGTAGGCAGACTCTTAAAATGAGCAGTCGCCATTCAAGAGGTCTCTTACGCAAACAAATGTCATGGTTTCTCCATACTGATTGGACCCAGCATCGTCCAATCACAACTACATAAATGTTCATGAATGACAACACAGATCCATATCCTTCAAATATAAGTTCCTTGGTACCTTGAGGGCAAACAAGTGTTCCCACGCAGATGTCTTCCCCTGGGATCTGTAGGTCTGCAAATCCAATTAGGTTGACTTGTGTTAGGGAAAATGGGATTTGTAGTCCAATACACCCAGAAGAATTAAGTTAGGATAATTTCTTAGCTGAAATAAATCTAGTTACCCATGAAAAGCTGTTTGCCCTTGACGAATCTACTCCCGGCCCCTTTTGACCACCAGGAAGCTGTTAAAGATTCAAGGAGCTGAAGGGAGCCTGTTTTGTGGCACAGATCCCTCCGACGTAAAGCCTGTTTAACTGCAATCCAATAAGGGCTGGCCTTTTGTTCTATTGTTGAGAAGTTTACTCACTCCACTAGGATCTGAATAGTGGGATAATCCCTTCAAGAGGGTCAAGAAGACTGCCGACACAGAATCGGCTAAAGACAAAGGCCTGGATGGCAGTCAGAAAGGCAGAATAACCCACTTCTCTTGGGCTTTTAGATACTCCAGAGAGAGAAGCAGGACCAGGTTCAGCTGATCAACCTTCTGAGAAACATTGAAGTGAACCCTGCTGGCAACTGGTATGAATTCTTAAGCCTATCATCGTGAGCATCAAGAAATGTAGAACCGGTCTGGTTATTGCAAGTGGCGTTAAGAACCTCTTCGTGTCTCCGAACTGTTGATGCAATTTAGACTTAAGACTTTAGAGCGGGAGTGGCTGATCGTAGCCATGAGGGTTGCAGTGTAGCTTTCAGAATGCTTTGGATGGTACCTGGTTCCAGTGGTTAATGGAACAGAAGTCCATAATGATTAAAAAATCATACTGACGGATGTAATTGATTGGTTTTAATTCATTGTAAATCGAATCAAGTCAAAGTTAGTTTCTATGCCAAATCACCCATTCCCGTGACACCACTCCAAAAAGAAGCATAGTTTCAGCACATATTGTGCATCCTTAATGAATAGAGATGACAATTGGCTACTCCGAGTAGGAAGAACTGCTCCTGAGTTTCTAACAGAGATGGGTTTCAGCAGGTTCTGACCAGTTATGGAGAACCGGTAGCGGAAATTTTGAGTAATTCGGAGAACAGGTAAATACCACCTCTGACTGGCCCTGCCCACATCTATTCTCTGCCTCCCGAGTCCCAGCTGATTGGGAGGAAATGGGGATTTTGCAGTATCCTTCCCCTGCCACGCCTACCAAGCCACACCCACAGAACCGGTAGTAACCGGTAGTAAAAATTTTTTTGAATCCCACCACTGGTTTCTAGGGCCTCTGATCTTTCCTGATTCTGTCTGGTGTCACCTGTTCTCTTTAAGCTTGGAGCTCGTGACAGAAACCAAGAGATGGATTAGCAGTTCCATCTTCCTTGATGTTTCCTCTAGGCAAGGATATCCTTCGGGGACCAAACAGAGATGGGAAGAAAGAAGCGGCGGCAGACAAAGTTGCTTTGAGACCATTTTGTCAAAGGTCTCCTAAAATGTGAGTCAACAGTATTCCTAGGTAAATTGTCTACATTTCTCTCATTTACAAATACACCTACAGACACACTCTTATGACCAACCAAAGGAAGGCATCTACCTGGGGTTTTCATCTGGAGACTTTCAAGAGCATTCCACCACTCACAAGAGCACCCTATACAGCTGTAGTTCAGTTCACCATCTATGACCCTGGAAGCCCCTCTTTGCTCTAGGAACTTCTGCTGGTTGCTATAGAGAAGTTACCGTTTTCCAATTCTGGCTAATGCAACTCCGATGTATGAGACCACAAGTACTGTGCCAGCAAGAGCCTCTGCAAATAGCAGAAGACAAATGGAAGCTGCATGGCCATGGAAGGGGATTGAACGGGGAGCTCTGGAAAAGTAGGGGTGCAGTGGCTGAAAAGACCAGGCAGCAGGGTGGGATGGAAAGAGAGACGATTGAGCTCTTTCTTTCTAACCACAGTACATTTCTTTCTCTCTTCAGAGCTGAAATGGACAAGGAAAAGTGGAGTCTTTCAAGTGACTCCAAGCCTTTGAAAGACACTCCACTGTTCCATCTCAAAAATAATGATGACAGCCTGTCACTCACAGAATGAATAGCTGAGTAATTATGTGAACTTGGGATGGGCGGCGGGGTGTGCGTGCGTGTCACATTCTCCAAAGCTGTGTGTGTCTGCTCTATTTTGTGAATTGAGGAAAGAGAGATGGTTTTGATGTTTCAATTATTGTTATGTTTCACCTTCTCCTAGGAACCATTAGGAACACATCTGACAAGTGTTTAGTTTTAAATCGTGGAATGAACATCCCACGAAGGACCTCCAGTCCGCAGCACAAAGCCATATTTGGGCCTACATCTCTGAGGCTGGTGAGAAGTTAGCAGATCTGGGTTCTGTTGACAGCTTGGGAGGGCAGGACTCACAAGAAGTGTCTGAATGTAATGACTTATCAGGAGAACAGGAATAGACTGTGAGAAGAGGCAGAAACTGTTTATCATCTATCTTGAGCAAGTTCTTTTGGCATGAGAACCAGGTGCCTCCACAAGACAAGTTAAGATTAGAAACAAAGGCGCCTCAGATTAACTCAAGAGGTGGGCAGTCCCCACACATCTGAAATAGATGAATGGCTTTGATCAATGAACCCAGATCAACAGGAGGCACCAGGAATGCAGATATCAAGATAGATGTAAGAGGCAGCCAGGTTCTCCAAGGTTGTATTCCTAATAACAAAAACTTAGTTTTTTAATTAACTTTTTTTTGTTGTTGCTGATTTGTAGAGTGCTGGAGAAGACTCCTGAGTCCCTTGGACTGCAAGGCGAACAAACCGGTCAGTCCTAGAGGAGATCAACCCCGACTGCTCTTTAGAAGGCCAGATCCTGAAGATGATACTCAAAGACTTTGGCCACCTAATGAGAAGGAAGGACTCACTGGAGAAGAACCTAATGCTGGGGACGATTGAGGGCAAAAGAAGAAGGGGACGACAGAGAACGAGGTGGCTGGATGGAGTCATGTGAGCTTAAATGGACTCCAGAGGATGGTAGAGGACAGGAAGGCCTGGAGGAATGTTGTCCATGGGGTCGTGATGGGTCGGACATGACTTTGCAACTAACAACAAGAGTGTATTGGCTTGTAAATTAACGTCTGGGCTCAGGCAACCTGGCAAGCCATAAAAAAAAAGCCTAACCAAGATTGCAACCAATCCGGCTTAGCATTTGGGGTGAATGGAGCCACCAGATACGGAAGTGGGTAAACTACATTGTGCGAAACCACCTAGAGCGAGATGGGCCCTCTCCTCTTGACATGCTATAGTGCAAGAGCTGTTATTTTAAACCACAACAGTGGTTAAAATATGGTGGTGGTTAACAGTATTTTAAACCTGGCCAGTGGCCTCTTGCCACTGGCCAGGCTGCCTGAAGTTGATATGGGTATAAATCCAAAAACATCTGGAAGGCATTTGGTGCTTTTGCAAAGAAAGAAGCAATGGCCCAATGGTTACTGCAACGGAGGCCTGCTGAGAACCAAGTATAACCCGTTCCAAAACACTTATATTCCCCCCCCACAACATTGGTTCTCTCCCTCCCTCCCCACATCACATCCCTCAGGCTCTAGGACGCCCTTGCCTCGTATTTCCATGCTTCACAGCAAATCCCTTTTGAAGCGGCACAGAGGCGAAACTGAACTGCTGAATTTCTGCCTGGTAATAGGCGTGAAATCTGCAGTCCATTGTGCCAAAACTGCAGGGGAAAAAAAAGGGGGGGAATGAAAGCACACATAACTCTTGTCCACCCCACGGAACTAGAGAGAGCTATCCGAGGGGAGGCCGAGTCGCTCCTCCACCCAGGCAAAAGTTAGCCCAGAGGGTTCAGAAAGAAATTCACCTTTGGGAATTAATTAGAATTGAGAGCGAAAGATATCGTGGCCTGCCAAAGGCAGTGAATTCTCCACCTCAGCCATTTCTGGATAATCCCTTGTTCCTCAGCTCTGGAAAAAAAACAGGACGTCTACTTTTTCTCCCCAACCGTAAAAGTGTGAATGTGCAAAAAAAAAGAAAAAAGAAAAAAAAAGTCCACCAGGATATTTTATGTGGTTGGTATACATATTTCTCTATCCCTCCTGCCCATCTCTCTCTCTCTCTCTCCCTCCCTCCCTCCATCTCTGCTATGGCTCTGCAGTCACAAAACTGATTCCCTGCCAGGCAACCTAATTAAGGAAAAAATTTCCTATGATGAAGATCGGGGGGGAAAAAAAAGGGGGTTTGAGGCTGAGCCGCATTTTGCAAAAAAGTGGCTATAAAAAAAGAAAGAAAGAAAAGGAAGAACAATGGGAGCAGTCCGTCAATGGCAAAAAAGAAGAAGGGAAAAAGTGGGTGTGGAGGCGATGATACGTCGGGGACAAATAAATACATCGATACTCATCACCAGATCTCAATCTTCTTGAATGGTTGTGAGACCAAGAGAAATAGCAGAATAAAGTTGCTTCCGACATTCGTTCAAGAAAAAATGTCAGCTGTGGCTTTTCCAGGTGTTTTATGAACATCGTTTAGGGCAGAGGTCACCAACTGGTGGTCCGTGAGAAAATTTTGGTGGTCTGCAGAAAAATTATTTGCATTTTTAAATATTGGACTAAATCAGGGGTCCTCAAACTACGGCCCCTGAGCTAGATACGTGCAATGAAAGTTTGGGTTGCTGCAGAGGGTCTCCCCCTTCAGGGTCTTTTTGTGTGGGTTGGAGGGGGGCAGAAATTCCGACTTGGGGTCTGCTTCGGCTTCCTGGTGCCGGGCTTTGGGCAAAGGCTGGAGGGAAGCGCCGCTGGTGGCGAAGAGCCGGAGGGCCTCGTTCCAGTGAGACTGCATCATAGCCTGGAACTAGCTGACCATCTGAGCCCGCTGAGCCTCCAGGCGCCGATACTTGGTCTTGCACTCCCGCAGGTCTTCCCTCTGCTTGGAAAGCCTATGCTCGTAGTCCTGAGTGAGGTGCTTCTGCTGAGCCTCCTTCTCGGCCAGATCCAATTTGAACTGAGCCAGCTGTTTTGCCAACTCTTTCTCGTGGTGGCTGCTTAGCTCCAACAACTGCTTCCTGTTGGGGCCCTAAGGAGCCTGGGTGAGGATTGGCTGGCAGGGGAGGGGTGAGTAGAGATTGGCGAGGTGCCCCTCGATGTGAGTGACATTCAGTTGGCTGTGTCCACCCAGTCACATGACCACCTAGCCACGCCCACCCAGCCGGTCATTAGGCAGATCATATTAGTAGTCCATGGGATTTAAAATTATGAATTTAGTGGTCCTTGAGATCCGAAAGGTTGGGGACCCCTGGTTTAGGGAACTGGACTCTTGCCGGTGGGAATCTTCTTAAGTCACAAGGAGCACCTCTTCCCGTATGGACAGGCAGAGTAAAAATCTAAAGCATCCATTCAAATGCATCATCCGTTTCAGGGATTCTCGGAAAAGCCATCCCTTGACTTGGCGTTGAATAGCGTCTTTTCTCTGCTGGACCAGAAATGCCTTCGTAGGTGACCTTCTGGGCTTTGTAGAACTGAGGCGTGGCTGAATCGCCAAACTGATTCTCTTTTGCCCAGAAAATCTTCCAGAAGTAAGCCAGGAAGGAGAGAAAGAGAGAGAGAGAGGGTGTGTGTGGCCATATTGTCACTTTGTAAGCTGGGAGGGAGAATTGCCAGAGCTGGCAGCTTGAGAGGGCCCGAATTGGGGGGCTGGAGAATAGACCCTTTGTATCAAGGGCTCATTCAATTGCCATCAGTTCCGCCAGCCCTCCTGTCTGGTTGACATATCTCTCCCACTCAGTGTCTCTGCCACCACTTCTGACCCACACATGCCCCTCGCCTCGGCAACCACCCCTCTGAATCCTTTGTTTCCACCCGTAAGTTGGAAATGTTCCACCAAGTTTACAGAGAAGGGAATCTGGGCTTGGAAGAATATTCTGGGGGAACCTCACAGGGCCCTTTTCAACTCCCACTGCCACTTTGCAGATAATAGTTTATAGTGAAAAGGCTCCATAAAAATGCTGTATGTAAGATTCAGAATACATACATGAAGATAAGTCTTTGACTTACGAGCAGTTAGGACGAGAACTTCCAGCATTAAGCTATGTGGTTAGTGAGCCATACTTGATTTTACAGTAGTATTTTTTGGGGTGGTCATTAATAGTAATAGCACTTAGACTTATATACTGCTTTACCGCCCTCTCTAAGCAGTTTAGAGAGTCAGCCTATTGCCCCCAAGAATCTGGGTCCTCATTTCACCCACCTCGGAAGGATGGAAGGCTGAGTCAACCTTGAGCCTGCTGAGATTTGAACTGCCAAATTTCAGGCAGCCGGCAGTCAGCAGAAGTAGCCTGCAGTACTGCACTCTAACCACTGTGCCACCGTGTGAATCACCATGGCTGTTAAGCGAATCATGTGGTCCAGTGGTGGGATTCAATTTTTTTTACTGCTGGTTCTGTTGGTGTGGCTTGGTGGGCGTGGCAGGGGAAGGATACTGCAAAATCCCCATTTCCTCCCGATCAGCTGGGACTTGGGAGGCAGAGAATAGATTGGGGGCGGGGCTAGTCAGCATTTTTACTACCGGTTCTCCGAACTACTCAAAATTTCCGCTACCGCTATCTCCAGAACTGGTCAGAACCTGCTGAAACCCACCTCTGATGTGGTCATTAAGCAAATCTGGCTTCCCACATTGACTTTGCTTGTTTGGAAGCCTCCTGGGAAAGTCGAAAACAATGATCGCATGATCCCATTTTTTTTCACATTTGTTAAGTGAACCTGGCTTCCTTGTCAACTTTGCTTCTCAGAAGGTCGCAAAAGGGGATCGCATGACCTTGGGGCACCGCAACCATCATAAATATGAGTCAGTTGCCAACAGTCTGAATTTTCATCACGTGACCACGGGGATGCTGCAACAGTCGTAAGTGTGAAAACTGGCCATAACTCACTTTTTCCCCCCGGTGCTGTTGTAACTTTGAACGGTCACTAAATGAACTATTGTACGTCGAAGACCCCCTGTATATTTAAAATTGAGAGGAGGGATAAAGACATTCCTTATAGTTTTACATGAGCTGACCAACCCGGGTGTGGCAAGACATTAGGACAGTTCCCCCTTCTCCCCAATCCCCTTTCTGTTCTTATGGGAGATCAACTGGATCTCCTCCACGTCCTTCACCACCTGATTTGGTGGGAAAAGCCAACATGGTCTTTTCACTATGGCCCTGATATGTGCCAGTCCTGGCCACAAGGACACACCTTTGCTATTTATGAGTCCTTTGTGCTGACGGATTTTGCAGACCCCTGCAGTATATGTTGCCATAGCTTCCTGGCATCAGCTCAGACCTGAAATTAGGTCATTCCCAGAAGCCAACAGATGTTAATTTTGTGCATTTGTCCCCATAAAGCTGGCTACTCCTTCTCCTCCTTCCCCTCTGCCCTGAATTACATGGCCTATGAAAATCCTCTAAGCACTTACGTCCAGCCCCTTGGTCCAGCTGTTAAGACAAAGTGTGTGGTTTCCGTTCAAAATATCAACGATATATTAGTTTATGCCTCCAAAACGGAGTGAAGCTAGCAGTTATGTACGGAATATACCCTCGCGCACTTCTAGATGCGTTGGTACTGCACCTCCAGATGTCTCCGCCAACATGGGATTGGGATTGTGGAAGGGAACATTTAAGAATTTAGAGCAGCTAACAGGAAAGACAAATGAATGGAGAGGTTTCAGATTCCTGTTAGGATCTCCCCGAAGCTTGGTTTCCTCACAAACTCATGAGGGTAATTGCTTGCTTTATTTTAATGTCGCCTTCAATAAAAGTAAAAGCTATCTTCAATTTTAAAGGCTAACCAAGTCCAGGTCAATCATAGAGAATCCTCAGGATGGAGAACAGCAAGTAGGTAGGCACTAACCATCAAGCTGTTGGTAACCAGGTAGTAGAATTAACGACTGCAAGTCCCTTGTTCACCGTTTTCTCCGTGGTACCAACGTATATTGGATATTTTCTATTGAAACACTCGTATTTTCTTAAGGGGATATATGCGTACGCAAGTTGTATTAATTTCTGAAAACTCCGTGCAGATTTTCAAATGTAAAAAAGTCAATCTCTTGGCATTGTTAGGTTTAAACCTACATTATGGAGTCCACTGCCACCCCCTCAGTCTCAAAGAGGCAAGCATAACTCTCAGCATCATCAGCTGGTCTCCAGCAGCTGTTATTTGAATTTTGGTCTAGGATGGCATTTCTCAACCCCAGCAACTTTCTGATGTATGTATTTCAACTCCCAGAATTCCCCTATGCTGGTTGGGGAATTCTGGGAATTGGAGTCCAGGCTTCTGAAGTTCATACGGTAGCATTTCCTACAAAACTTTAAAACATTGCTCTGAAAAACTGTCTATGGCAGAATTTTTCCCTCTTCTCAAATCTTCCCCAAATGTCCAGGACAGAGGGTGAAAATTCACCCCAAACAAAAGCACTAACAAATGCCAAGATTGCTGATTAGTTTCCCAGCTTTCATTTTGCATATTTTATTTTATTTTATTTTATTTTATTATTTTATTTTATTATTTTATTATTTTATTTTATTTTATTATTTTATTTTATTATTTTTTATTATTTTATTTTATTTTATTTTATTTTATTTTTTTATTACCGAGTCATATTCTTGGTTCCTGCCCAAACTACCAGTTCTGCCTTTTTATGTAGGTCACTGATTGGCAATGTCCCAATTCATAACATATAGCATAAGTACATTATATATATTATATATATAATAGATATATTATATATGCTGCTTCACAGTGCTTTTACAGTCCTCTCTAAGCGGTTTACAGAGTCAGCCTATTGGCCCCAACAACCTGGGTCCTCATTTTACTGATCTCGAGAGCATGGAAAGCTGAGTCAATCTTGAGCCTCTCAGAATCAAACTCCTGGCTGTGGGCAGAGTTAACCTGCAGTACTGCATTCTAACCACTGCGCCACCTTATATCCATCAACTCTGCTCCACAAGTCTCAAATTCCAATGTCTGAGACACAACATCCTTATCGTTGAGGAATGGAGACTGGGGGACCTTTTTTCTCTTGAAAAGTGATTTCTTTAGAGCCTCCTAAGTCCTATGCCATCCGTAGGCAGTGCCAAAACCAATAGTAGGTAAGGCCATTTCTGTCTCCTGCCTTTATACCTCTGTAATTAGCATAGAAATCAAACCACAGGTAGAAGAAGCATATATAACCACCTATCTCTCTACCTTCTGCTTACTCTTTCTATTGTGTGGAGTTCCATTAGTTACCGAATACAATTTCTGGTCATCTAAGGCTACCGGGACATGTAGTATTTGTAAGATTCTGCAAAAATTCTGGTTTGGCAGTAGAGCTATATATTCCCAATCTGAACTCCTCCCAAGACATCAAACCCATACTTTGGTGGAGCA